CATCAAAACAAATAGATGTAGTGAAAACATGTTTGCAATATCTTTCTTAACCCAGTGTTCTGTTGAATTAATATGTCATCTAACGATTTAAAATTAAATGATTGACCTTACATTAACGAATTGTGTAGGTGTAAACTGATGAATTGCTTACATAGAATTGTATATGACTCGAGAATATTTTTTTTTCTGACTCACAACAGGTTTTGAAGTGTCAAAGTATGAAAAATGCATTACCGATGTATTTTTCTGAAGGGTTTAATATCCAGAACAGTCACCTTATTTACAGTACAAATTTGAGTTCATATCTAAAAGTATCAGCAAATTTTAACTTGACACTTCAACAGGGAAGTCTTCTCGAAATGAGTACTACATCATCTTTTTAACTGTGAATGATTTTGATATCAAGTACGCAACTTATTAAAAGTAGGAAAGGAATTGAATTTGTCGTCGAAAACAGGTAAGAAATTAACTCCATTATAATTTTCATGCAGAATACAGATAAATTTGACTTATATTTCATTTTTTTTAAATTTTTTTTAATTATTCCAAAATAATACAAATTTTCGGTGTTATGAATACATGTAGTTGAATTGGAAGCTCTAAATACTTAACAGCCAGTAGGGGAGTATTTACGCGTGGCAATAATGAATTTTAATTAAGTTAAAGATGCAGTTTTGATTGTATCTTAATTATTTTATTGATATTTATGAACCGATTAGATGATAAGAAAAAGGATGTTATAAAAAGAAAGTTGTTGCAACCCTAATTAAAATGATAAACAAAACTAGCACCAGATCAATTTAATTTCACGAAACAAAATACATCTTATACCGTTACTTTTCCACTGAAAAACTTTCAAGTTCATATTTCCCTATCATGACAATAAGCACACAACGGTAGTTACTGGTCGACAAGGGAAGTTTATTCCTCCATGGCACCTGATCCCTCCTCTGATGTTTCGCTGGTCCGTGTTTGTTCTGCTCCTATTTTGTATTGTTTTATGGACTGTTGTTCTTGAATACTGTTCGTTATATCTATATTTTTCATAATAAATAGTGTGCCAATTTAATGCTCGCATCTTTAATAAACCTACATGTAATATCTATAGGTTTCACAATGTTATGCAAATATTTGAAAACAAAAACATGAGATATATATTTCAGGTTTCCCATAGAAAATATGGACGTACACTGTCTTTCTTTCTATGTTATCGAGGATACCCTTTTTGATTAAAATTTGATGATATACCTTTTTCTTTTACAGAATCTTTATTACAGAAATGTTATTTATGCACCTCCTACTTTATATTTTGATGGGACAGATATTTTGGCTTCCCAAGGGAAATTAAAATTTGCTACTATACACATTTCAGAGGAAGGGGAGGGTTTCAATATGTGATCTCGCAAACTCACAAAACCTATACTGCTCTCCACTATCTGTATTAATGATCATAAAGTTTGTTCATCAAAACAAATAGTAAAAACATATGTTTGTATTATCTTTCTTAACCCAGTGTTCTGTTGAATGAATATGATTGTCATCTTACGATTTAAAATTAAATGATTGGCCCTACATTAACGAATTGTGTAGGTGTAAACTGATGACTTGCTTACATAGAATTGTATATGACTCGAGAATATTTTTTTCTGACTCACAACAGGCTTTGAAGTGGCAAAGTGTGAAAAATGCATTACCGATGTGTGTGCGTCTGTATTTTAATTGAAGAGTTTAATATCCAGGACAATCACCTTATTTACAGTACAAATTTGAGTTCATATCTAAAGGTATCAGCAAATTAACCTGACTCTTCTACAAGAAGTCTTCTTGAAATGAGTACAAAATCATCTTTTAACTGAGAATGATTTTTATATCTAATAAGCAACTTATTTAAAACGGGAAAAGAATTGAATTTGTCGTACAACAGGTAAAAAACTACCATTATAAGTTTTATGCAAAATTAAGATAAGTTTGACTAATATTTTATCTGTTTTATTTTTGTTTTAATTATTCCAAAATAATACAAAATTTCGATGTTATGACTAGTTGCATTGGAAGCTCTACTTAACAGCTAGGAGTGGAGCAATTACGTGCGGCAATAATGAATTTCATTATAAGATGCAGTTTTGATTGTATCTTAATTATTTTATTGATATTTATGATACGATCAGATGATAAGAAAAAGGATGTTGTTAAAAGAAATTTGTTGCAACCTTATAAATATAGTGATAAACAAAACTAGCACCAGATCAATTTATAGTCATGACACAAAATAAATCTTATACCCTTACTTTTCCACTGAAATAATTTTAAGTTCATATTTTCCGATCATGACAAGGAGCACACAGTGGGTGTAACTGGTCGGCAGGGGATGTTCATTCGTCCATAGCACCTGATCCCACCTCTGATGTTTTGGAGGTCCGTGTTTGCTCTGCTCCTATTTTGTATTGTTTTATGGAATTTTGTTCTTGAAAACTGTTCGTTATTTCTATATTGTTCATAATAAAATGTTTACATTTGCAAATATCTTTCTTAGATGAATCTATTGAAGAGAAAATATGTTCAATTCCGTGTGAATGTTATTTGGGGGTCAGAGGTCATAGCGCGACCGAATCACAGAACGAGGTGATATTTTGTTCGTGTAATAAATGCAATTTAACTCGAAATGCATGTATTCGTCTTAAATGTAAATATAAATAATAAACAACAATGTTAAAAGTTCACTGGGAAATGAACTTTTAGTTGGTACGTGATCAAATCTACTGAAAAGCCCTTCGGACTTCACAGGGTGTGATCACGTGACCAACTAAAAGTTCATTTCCCAGGGAACTTTTTAACATTGTTGTTTATTTCTTAATAGTCTGCTAATTTAATGTTTGCATCTTTAGTAAATCTACATGTAATATCATGTTATAGGTTTCACGTTATGCAAATATTTGAAAACAAAAACATGGGATACATATTTCAGGTTCCTATTTCAAAATATGGACGTACACTTCCTTTCTTTCTATATTATCCTGGACACGCATTTTTTGATTTAAATTTGATTGATACTTTTCTTTTACAGAAACTTTTTACAGAATGTTATTGTGCACCTCCTACTTTATATTTTGATGGGACAGATATTTTGGCTTTCAAATGAAAATTAAGATTTGCTACTAAATACATTCTAGAAGGGAGGTGGACATGTCTCAATGTGTGATCTCACAAACTCACAAAATCTATACTGCTCTCCACTATCTGTATTTATGATCGTAAAGTTTGTTCATCAAAACAAATAGTAAAAACATATGTTTTCATAATCTTTCTTTACCCAGTGTTCTGTTAAATTAATATGTCATCCTAAGATTTAAATTAAATAATTGACCTTACATTAACGAATTGTGTAGGTGTTAACTGATGTTTACATAGAATTGCATATGACTCGAAAATATATTTTCCTGACTCACAACAGGTTTTGAAGTGTCAAAGTGTGAAAAATGTATTACCGGTGTGTGTGCGCTACGGTATATTTGTTTGAAGAGTTTAATATTCAGGACAGTCACCTTATTTACAGAACAAATTTGAGAGTTCATATCTAAAAGTGTCAGCAAATTTTAACTTGACTCGTCTATAGGGAAGTCTTTTCGAAATGAGTACAACATCATCTTTTAACTGTGAATCTTTTTGATATCTAGTACGCAACTTATTAAAAGTGGGAAAGGAATCGAATTTGTCGTCGAAGAGAGGTAACTCACTTACTGTAAACAAATTTACACCATAATAATTTTTATGCAAAATACAGATAAGTTTGACATATATTTTATCTATTTTTATTTTGCAAATTATCCCCCCCCAAAAAAAACAACAACAATTTTTCGATGTTATAACGAGTTGCTTTGGAAGCTCTACTTTACAGCTAAGATGGGAGCAATTATACGTGGGGCAATAATGAGTTTCAATTAAGTTAAAGATGCAGTTTTGATTGTATCTTAATTATTTTATTGATATCTATGAAACGATCAGATGATAAGAAAAAGGATGTTGTAAAAAGAAATTTGTTGCAACCTTATCAATATAATGATAAACAAAACTAGCACCAGATCATGCAATTTATAGTCATGAAACAAAATAAGTCTTATACCCTTACTTTTCCACTGAAATAATTTAAAGATCATATTTCCCGATCATGACAAGGAGCACACAGCGGGTGTAACTGGTCGGCAGGGGATCCTCATTCGTTCATGGCACCTGATCCCACCTCTGATGTTTTGGAGGTCCGTGTTTGCTCTGCTCCTATTTTGTATTTGTTTATTGACTTTTGTTCTTAAATACTGTTCGTTATTTCTATATTGTTCATAATAAGTAGTCTGCCAATTCAATATTTGTATCTTTAATAAATCTACATGCAATATCATGCTATAGGTTTCACGTTATGCAAATATTTGAAAAACAAAAACATGGAATATATATTTCAGGTTAATTTCCTATAGCAAAATTTCGGACGTACACTTCCTTTCTGTCTATATTATCGTGGACATCCATTTTATTTATTAAAATTTGATTATATATATATTTTGGCTTAAAAATGGAAATTAGATTCGCTACTTTTCACATTTTAGAGGGGTTGGGGAGGGGGGGTTAAATTGGTGATCTCGCAAACTCCTAAATCCTCTACTGCTCTCCACCATCTGCACTAATGATCGTAAAGTTTGTTCATCAAACAAATACTCTGTAGTAAAAACATGCTTGCATTATCTTTCTTTACCCAGTGTTCTGTTAAATTAATGTGTCATCCTAAGATTAAAATTAAAATGATTGGCCTTACATTAACGAATTGTGTAGGTGTAAACTGATGTTTACATAGAATTGCATATGACTCGAAAATATATTTTTCTGACTCACAACAGGTTTTGAAGTGTCAAAGTGTGAAAAATGCATTACCGATATGTGTGCGCTTTCGTATTTGTCTGAAGGGTTTAATATCCAGGACAGTCACCTTATTTGCAATACAATTTAAGAGCTCATATCTAAAAGTATCAGCAGATTTATTTTGACTCATCTACAGGGCAGTCTTCTTAAAATGAGTACATCATATCTTAACTGTGAATGATTTTGATATCTAAGTAAGCTACTTATTTAAAGTGGGAAAGGAATTGAATTTGTCGTCGAAAACAGGTAACAAATTAACTCCATTATAATTTTTATGCAAAATAGTGAAAATACACATTATATTATACTGATAAATTTGAGTAATGTTTTATATGTTTTTGTTTTAATTATTCCAAAATAAAACAAATTTTGGATGTTATGACTAGTTGCATTAGAAGTTCTACCTAACAGCGAGTAGGGGAGCATTTACGTATGGCAATAATGAATTTTGATTACGTTAAGGATGCAGTTTTGATTGTATCTAACATTTTTGAATGATATTTATGATACGATCAGATGAAAAGAAAAAAAAAAGATGTGGTAAAAAGGAATTCGTTGCAACCTTAATTATAAACAAAAGTAGCTACAGGTCCTTTTATAGTAATTAAACAAAAAAATCTAATACCGTTACTTTTCCACTGAAATAATATGCTGACGTTTTAAATGAGGGCTTTCATACTAACACCAACCTTGCTATTTGAACAAGATTTTAAGGGGGTAACATTTTAGGTCATATATGCACACTCTTGTTTGGACACTTAAAAACGTGCAGAGATTTATATATTATCAAGGTAAGCCATGAATAGGTCAATTATCTGGATGGATGATTAATTTTCCAAGAAAGGAATAGAAAAGATTCACAAAAAATCCTTACACTATGTGCCAAAACAAGTTTAAAGTAGTCATCTATCTGCAAAAATCCTCTTACCTGTAGATGTATATATACTAATATTGATTTTTTTATCTCTCATTTAACCTGACATTTTAACTACAACCTTAAACAGCAATTACCTCCCCTTATATATCTCCATTCACGGACACCAAATGTAAATGTAGTTTTGCATGTATATAGAGTAATACTAGTACACTTATTTACTGAATATTCGCACAATAGCAAGTTTATCGTCCCCCAAGTCCAGTAGTGTAGTATTTCAACTGAGCAATGAATCAATATTTTTTTGAAAGATAGTCTCCAGGCGCGGATCCAGGATTTGGAGTTAGGGGGGGGGCGCCACTGCGAAGGGTAAATGATCAAACAAATTTTCATAACACGCTATAACGCATTACTGAATTTGATTGCACACACCGCTGCAGTCTTAAAAAAAATGATTCATTGCTTAATTGAAATTTTTTTTAAACAGGTCTGGAGGATTTCCAAATATGGAAGTCGAGAAAGAATACTGAAAGTTGCTAAATATACATCATGTACACGTAATTATTTTTCTGTCCAATCAGACAACAGCATTTTGACACACTCCAAAACATATTTTGAAGGAACAAAAAAATAATGCGTGCTTTTATTTTTTTTTTCCTCAAAAAGATTTTTTTAACAGAAGTGTTTATCGTATGGACTACCTTTTAAAAAAAATATGGGTTTCATGAGTGCCGAATACTAAGCTATGCAGACTTTAAATGGGCACAAGGAAGGGCGTATGGAGAAAAAGAGATTATTATACATGAATGTGTTTGATCCCAATATCTTACCTCGCATGCCAGAAACTGCATGGGCGATTTTGCTGTAAAAAAATCAAGAAATAACGAAGACTGTTATCCATCCAATAAAATTTTTATATCAGGCTCTAAAAACTGAAAAATTCCGTATTTATATTAAATTCTTAACGTAATTTAAACTTTTGGGATTGCTACCTCCTAGTGACAGATTTTTGATCCTATCAAACGTATTCTAAGCTTTCAATTCGTGTTTGTTCACGGACGAATTGTCATAAATATTATATTATTCCTAAATGTGCATAAAGTTTACAAAGAGTTTGTTCAAAAAAAATCTTTAAAGCAAAAAAATGTAAAAACAATGTGTTTTATTTATTTTATGGGTTTTTCTGAATGCCGTTATCTGATTGGTCAGAAGGACTAGTACCTTATTGATAGCAATCCACGGTTATCGCTCTTGACTTCCTAATTTGGAAATCGTCCAGACCTGTCAAAAGCTCATTTCATTTTAAACTGTTTAGTTCAATTATTGTTCAATAAATTTTATCCTTTTTTTTCCAGATGTACAAAACTAGTATAATTATTCCTTTATCGTTCAGATGTACATGTATATAAAACTTTTTTTTTCTTTTATCTTTGACTTAGAATAAAAATGGATGTTGGCAAGATTATTATAACGGTGATGTTGGTTACAATTTCCATAGCCTTGGAAACAGAAATTAAAAATGCAGTGGAAGTTAAAACACCATCTGGCTGGGTCAGAGGTTATGAAGAAAACTTGGAAGATGGACAGGTCTACAGGTTTATCAAAATTCCATTCGCGCAACCTCCACTGGGAAAACTTCGCTTTCAGAAACCTCAGCCCATTGGAGAATGGGAGGGTGTTGAAGGAGTGTCAGAGAAAACTGGTATGTCTTGCCCACAGTGGAATTTTCCCATGCCTGGTTTCGACGACATGCAACTAGATGAAGATTGTCTGCATCTTAATATTTACGTTCCTGGAAAAGTATCGAAAGATAGGAATCTCTCTGTGATGGTTTGGATTCATGGAGGGGGCTTCATGTTTGGTGGAGCTAATCAGTACAAACCCCAAAAGTTAGTTTTGGGCGGTGACGTCATAGTGGTAACAACAAATTACAGAATGGGATTTCTAGGTTTCCTTACACTTCACGATCCCCTAATGGCGGGAAATTATGGTATTTGGGACCAAATCGAGGCTCTGCGTTGGGTTCAAAACAACATTGCAGCATTTGGAGGAAATCCAAACTCTGTCACTATATTTGGAGAGTCTGCTGGTGGAATGGCTGTCAGTCTTCTGACTTTAATTCCATCAAACAAGAGTCTGTTCCAACGAGCCATTTCACAGAGCGGAGTAACGAACTTCTTCACAATATCCAAAAAGGAACAGGAGGTACGAAATGCAGATTTACTCTTAGAGAGAGTTAACTGTAAAGATGAGAAAGACGTCTCTGATATCCTACGGTGCCTTCAAGATCTTCCGGTTGATAACATAACAAATGCTGTGACAATGATGGACCTGATGACTCCAATGAACACATCCTTTATAACCGGAGGATTCACTCCTAGTATTGACGGCGAGCTCATAAAGGAACATTTGGCTTACCCAAAATCTTCAGAGGCCTCCATTTACAGTTTCTTTCGCTCCGTGGATTTCATGTCTGGAACATTAAACGGGGAAGGAAATCTGGTATACATGGGCATATCACCCCAAATTCAAGAACAATTCGATTTCAACGTCACGGAAAAAATTCCACTGAGTTATCTTTGTGAAATAACTGCACCCACATTTGTGGAATTAGCTGTTGGCAATGTCCCAGATTTAACGAAGGAAATCTGCGACTTTTACGCTACCACGGAGAGCGTAGATGCTCAGAGTAATAAAGTTTGCGAATTCACCGGTGACTATGCGTTCATAGTACCAAGTAATATTATGCTATCTATTCATTCCAAAAATAACAAAGTGGCTAAATCGTTCCAATATCTGATAACAAAAACAAGTCCTATGCCTTTCGGGGGAGATCCACCAACTTGGTTTAAGGGCGCTGGACATGGAGATGAGCTGTATCTAATGTTTGATTTTGAAATATCGGCTCTTTCAGAGGAAAAGTTTAAGAAAATTAATATGGACGAGGTCAAGAAGTTGTCAGACTATGTTGTCAAATATTGGACCAATTTTGCAAAGTTTGGGTAAGCATATTATTACACAAAAAATGGTTTTCGTGTTGTTGCATTAGGAGTTTTATTTGGATAGTAAACATTTCGATTAAGTACATTAGGTCAACTTCGAGATATGTTGAATATATTCCATCTTAGAAGTAAAATGAAAATATTGCATCCTATAAGTAATTTTTTTTGTAAGATGTTGAACATTTGCAGTAACGTCAAGGAAACAGATCTTTTTGGATTTGATGTCATCGTAAAGCAGTTGTGCATATTATAATGATCTAATTAACAGTGAATGTAAAACTTATTTTTTAGAAATCCAAACGGTGAAAATGTTCCAGAGTGGCCAGCATATGACGTCAACACAAAACGATACGTCATAATCGACTCACCAATCACGACAAGCGAGAATTTGAAATCCGAGGCTACAGCGCTGCTGACCAAGATCATAGAGCTTGGTGGAAAACGGATCCATGACGAATTATAGCCACAGTAGACATTGTAGATCCTTATCACAATTAGTATTTCATAAAAAATTATTGCTGAAATTATCACCATCTGACTTTTAGATTAGTGATTCTTAAACTACCTGAGTTGTTTTATGTAGAAATAGCAAGCATCCTTGTACAGAGAAAATACACCCGTAATTTGGGGCTTTAATTATCACTTCATTCTTTTTTTTTTCTTTTGGGTGGTCTTTTTGGACTGTTCTTCAGGCAATTTTCTTTATATAAAAAAGTAGAAGATTTCAAATTATAACAGTTTTATAAATATCATATCATGAAATGTTTCCTGTATTTGTATCACTGTGTTTTATTCCAATTTGTATTATTTGTCTTATCCATCCCCAAAAAGAAAAACAGTCTGCGTTACCAAACAACTAAGTTGATGGATTATTCAAGCAAAGATCTTTGAAAATAGTTCTTCTATATTTTCACATAAACATGTACTGTTATTTGTTGTCAGAGCCTTACATTTAAATGATTTTTCTTCTTGTTCTTTGTGTGTTTGTTGTTTAATTTTTGTTTGTTTTTTTTTTTTGTGGATGACTGTGTGTAAGTATTTTTTCTGAAGTTTTTATACTTCTGTAGAGCACCATTGCTTCATGCTTTAAAAGTTTTTTTTTTATTTTAGTAAATTACATGTAGGCAAATATTTGTATATAAGAGAGACTTATGTTGACAAAAACTGATGGTATCGGTAAATTATTTAATAAAACTAGTTGACATCGATGGATTGATAATATTTTATATTTTTGAGAATAAAATAAATAGATTAATTTGTTTTCTTATTCATTTTCTCCGATCTAGAAGAGGCCTTTGCTTATTATTTTCCAGATGCCCTTGCAACGACTAGGTTTTCTTCTTTTAGTTCAGTGAGAATACAAAGTCCTTCAAAAATAAACTTAACTGAGTATGGAAATAAGACATTCAAGTGAGTTATCAAGGTAAAGTTGTAAGGGACATGAAATCAGAAAGCTTCACCTCAGATGAAATGATGACACCTCCCGCATCACAAAGGATTATAATGAAAGAAAAAATGATCAAAGGTTTGAAATTGAGATAACAGCAAACCTAAATGCCAATTTTATATACACTTCCTTATAGAACCTAGAGATGGGTTAATGGAATAGTAAATGGAAAATCAAAAATTGTAAAGTAATACTATAATATATACGATGTTTTCAATAAATATCGTAATTCCCATAATGGGCGCACTATTTTTCAGTAAATGTTTATTCATCCTATTGGCATAATGTTTTTGTATATATATCAAAAATAAAGATTTTATGTATATAAAAAAAAATACACTTATATTAGAGAAGTAAGAATTCCCGTGCCTTCAATACATAAGATTATGATGAAAATTATCCTAATTCCATTCCACAATTAATTCTGTCGTCTTTTTAAAAATTTCAAGGCATTTGGTTAATTTTTGATATATCCCTTTAAACGCAAAATAAAAGATACACGAAAAATGGCGACTTTTTATGACGTTACGACCATCATTCTGTTGTAAATTTTAAATGAAAAAATTATTTAATCTTTAGTATATAAATGAAATGAAAGTTTTCCTCAGGAAGCTTAATAATAGTACAATTAAAACATATGGACAGACTGCCATTTGTTATAGCAAAGGGTCACTGTCAGTAAACTTCTCTTTTAGGCAAAATTAATGTTTTCCTTGACATAAATATTCAGAAGATACATGTGCCTTTTGGTTTCTTATGGTTATAGATCTCACATATGTAAATCAATAAAATTTCTAAATTTAAGTTTATCCAGTTTTATTGAAAAGATGAAACTTGACGCTGTTTTAGTCACTTTGACGAATCATCTGTACAAATACAAAATGTTGAAAAATTATCGCTTTGATGTTATTGATTTTTGTAAAATAAAAAAAAATAAAAAATTGTAAAGTAATATCACTTCTAAAATACGTATATATACATGTATAGTGCTACTGAAGATTCTTCCCTCGCTGCTGTTGATATTTGAGTGAAGAATAAACTTTTAAGAAAGAGACTAAGCCTAGAACCAACCTGGAATAATTTCCACAGAAATATCTGAGAAATCAAATACTTGGAGACGATCGAAACAGTATTCAAGCTCAAAGGTCCATTAAACATTACACAATACATGTAGGAGCAGAGCAAACACGGACCTCCAAAAATCGGAAGTGGGATCAGGTGCCATGTAGGTGTGAACATTCGTGTTTCTTGTCATAATCGGGAAATAACGGATAATCGTCAACTCAGTGTGTATATTATATCCTAACAATTTGTATGAAAAAACGTAAGTCAGAATTTGATTTATTAATAAATTTTATGTACAAATGCCAATGCAAATTCATTTTGACATGATAACTAATTTGTAAAACTTATCGTTCATTAACGTTTTCGTGTACTGTCGTGAACCCAACTCACAGTTATTGTACTATCGCAGAATTTCCAGAAACCGCCTTCACTCTACATTCTCATAAACAACAAGACATTAAGGTATGTTGCACTTTGCCACTAATGTGACTTTAATTATAGAAAATACTTGTAATTATGTAATAATTGATCATGAAATCCATAAAATTATTAATAAACACCTTATTATCTGTATCAAAAATTAACAGAATGAAACCGAATTATGAATATAAGATTAATATGTAAACCCTGATTATGTAATATATGGCGTAATTGATTACATAATATATCAAACTCTTGTGGTCTGAAACCGAAAACGACGTAAAACACATTTAACACCAAGAAAAAAAGATATAGACAAAATTAGACGTCCTAAAAAAGGAAAAGGTGGCGGTGTGGAGGCGGCTTAAAATAATTTGAAGCTATCCAACACACATGTACTTTTCACGGCGTCCTAAAAGAAACTGAAAAGTGACGCTATCTGGACGACCGGGTTCAGATTTTTAACGCGCACGATTTTCATTGGGCGTTTACTGAATGTTTCCATTTCCACGAATCGCTTGCATGACATCTGCCTCTCCTAATTTGGACACGCAAAAGCTTTCCAAGGATAATGCAAGCGCGATAAATCTTAAACGTTCTAATTTACATAGAATATTTTAAGTAAAACTTAAAATTCATTTATTTGCCGACAAGGTAATTGTATTGACCATAGAACTTACAAAATGACGACACTATGACGCCATTTAAAAGATCGCGATTTCCAAAAATGTCGGCTGTTTTAAAAAAAGTGGCTTTAAGGTCACCAGTAAAGACAAGTCCAGCAGAACTGTAGTTGTAGGGGTAGGTCATGATGTTACAGCTTAATATTTACATTTGCAAATGTTTCCCCTTATATAACACTATTTGAACAAGGCATTTTTACATCTCTGTAAAACACGTTCGTCATGTGACCATAAATTGATTGTTTCGTCATAAGCGATCTACGGTACATGTAATTTGATAGTGACGTCATAAGCGATCGACGTTACCAACACATTCAATTTATGCCGTTGGTTTTTGAAAAAAAACTTTATGGATTTTAAACTTTACTTAAGGTCAAGATCTAGTAAATAACTTGTCAACTTTCTTTTTCCCGTACTTTACGGCTTTAGCAGGATTATGTAGAAAATAGGGTATTTTCATGTCATTCAATTTGAAATCATATGAAAAGTAAATCGGATACCTATATTAAACTTGATATTGATTGAAATAAGAGGCCATGAATATACTAATTACCGTTTTCTGAGAGACTGTAGGCAATTTGGATACATTTCCTTTGCCGAAATCGAAAAAAAACCTCCCATATTCACGACTGGTTTATTGAAAATGACAGTTAAAAATACAGTTTTTCATCTTGTTTATCGACAAATTATGCCCCGAAACACCTTATTTGACCTAGCTAAAGTTGTAAAGCATCAATAAAGGAATTTATTTCTCAAATTTGATAAATCTGTACGTAGGCACCTTTTATTCACTAGATCTTTACCTTAAGTACGTTACTATTTGTAATAAATCAGTCACAAATGTAACTAGTACTAATTGTAACGGGAACCGTTACAGATGTTCCCCAAACGCTCCCCAACTCCCTTTTGGTGCCATATTCCCTGTAAGCTTCATTAAATAAAACAAACTCTGTGCATTATGTTTTCCCAAAAGGATACCAATTATATTCAAATTTTAGCATTGCACCCAAGCGCATATGAATGCATGTGGGTTATGACCATATCATCATGTCTACACTATCTATATATTTTAATAACTATATATTAAAGCATTCAGTCCAAAAGTAATAAAAAAAATCACTCATTCAAGTGTATTTCAATTATACTCGTTCCAAATGCACGCATGTGCGTGCATGTGCATGATGACCATACCTTCTTATAGGGGTCCCTTACATCTATCTATGTTCTAAATCCCATCCGGTTTGGTTGAAAAACAAGGGAGTTATAGCCATTTCAAGTTTCAGCCAATCAGATTGCAGCACACGTGCATGCGCGTGATTTCATGCTTTTTTTCTACACCATATTGTAGGATACCCTAATGCATGGCAATATTTTAAATTTCAAAGAATTTCGTCAAAAAACAAAGGAGATATAGCCATTTAAAGTTTAAGCCAATCATATTGCAGCACGCGCACATGCGCATGCTTTCATGAAAATTCTTTTATATCATGCTGTAGACCTTCATAATGTAGGACTATGTTCAAAATTTCAAAGGATTATGACGAGAAACAAGAAAGATATTGAGACTTTAGTTTCAGCCAATCAGAGCAAAGCGCACGTGCATGCGCGTGAGATCTTGCTATTTTGACCATGCTATCTTGTCTATACTTCTAATGTATCCTTACATTATGAGTTTCAAACAAATTCATAAAAAAATAGAAAAGTTACGGCAATATCCATTATATTAGTCATTTCACGTGTTGCACGTGCACGCTCTTGCAAGCACGTGCGCGCAAAATGACCTTGATTCCGCAAATCTACATAACATGTCTACTGACCCTAAAAAGGTTTTACCTACATCGGACGAACAGTTTACAAGATCACTCCCGGACAAAAAAGTACCCAGGAAGAAGAAGAAGAAGAAGAAGAAGAAAAATAATAATAATAAGAAGAAACAGAGTAAAAACAATATGTTCCCCAACTTCGTTTGGGGAACATAAATATAAGTAATAAGGTATCATTTCTTGAGTTTTACTGGGATGTAAAACGGGTTGGCACATGATCAAATCTTCCATAAAGCCCTTCGGGCTTTATGAGATTTGATCACGTGACCAACCCGTTTTACATCCCAATAAAACTCAAAATGATACCTTATTTCTTAATAATTTCGTCATGAAAATTATAAATTTGTCATGAAAATGGTGATAAAGTCGTTATAGCATATAATTTTGTCATGAAAATGTGCAAGTCGTGACGTTATAGCTTATACACATGTATTTACATTTGCTGATGTATTTCCTTATATAACAATGCAAATAGAATTGAAATTCAGTTTACAATGACATGCATTTGGTCACATGATTAGACTTTCTTGCATATGGAAAGCAAACTGCACGAGCAATTCGGAAAGTCCCTAATGTGACGTCACACGACGTCGTAGTAACGTTACGTTGCATTTCAAAATCAAAGTCTAAATAATGCCTATATATATTTCTTTGTAACTTGAATGAAAAACGTAAAATATATATACATGTATAACAAAAATAATATCTATTTTTAGAATTCCATTGGGGTAAGATATGAAGTCGGTACGTGATCAAATCTACTATAACGCCCTTCGGACATTATGGACTTTGATCTCGTGACCGACTTCATGTCATACCCCAATGAAACTCTAAAAATGATATCTTTTTTCTTAAATAACTTGATCATGAAAATTTTAACGTAATGACGTTTTAGCTTGTATAATTTCGTCATGAAAATAATAATGACGTTTGCTTACAATTATAATAAATAATGCTTATAATTAAAAATGTTTAAGGCACGACGTTATGGCTCTTAATTTCGTGAAAGTATAGCTTATAAATTTGTTATGACTTTATCATGGTCAGGTAACACATCTTAACGATTGTATTACTAAAATATTTTAGAGCTTACAAATCTCTTAGTATTAATTGAAGTTATCCTTATTCCAGACATATTTACAGTCCTTACCTCTTGGATTGATTTTTACAATATATTATATAACGCCATTAATATTTTAGCAATATTTCGGCAATGTTTTCTGACTGGTTTTTTGAAAGTTTTTGGTTTCTATGTCGCCCACCAGTAAATTTGGAGAAACGATATTTTAAAAGCCAATGGAATTGAAAGGGGCACTTTTTATTCTTAAAAATATGATTATAGTCACATTTTCGATGTATACGTAGATGTACATCCTGCATATGATTTTTTAATGAATGTAGTAGTACCCTTATTTTAAGGCCAAAATCTAGTAAATGACTTAAGGTAAAGATCTAGTTAGTGAACGGTGTCTACAGATCTATCAAATTCAAGAAATAAGTTCCTTTAATGATGCTTTATAAGTATAGCTTGGTCAAATAAGGTGCTTCAGGGCATAAGTTGTAGGAAACAAGATGAAAAATCATATTTTAAACTGTCATTTCCAATAAAAAAAATTAAGAAAAGCAGTCATGAATATTGGAGGTTTTTTTTCCATATTAGACAAAAAAAATGTGTCCATATTGCCTACAGTCTATCAGAAAACGGTAATTTGTATGTTCACGGCCTTTCCTTTAAAATAATATCAAATTAAATTAAATATAGGTATCGGGATTACTTTTCATATGATTTCAAATCGAATGCCATGAAAATACCCTTACTATTTTCTACATAATTCTGATAAAGCCGTAAAGTACGAGAAAAAGAAAGTTGAAATTGATTATGACGTTTAAGGTCAAGATCTAGTAAATGACATTTAGACTGATTTTGTGGTGCTTGATCTTAAAAGGTATTTTCTTAGCATTCAATTTGAAAAAGTAATTCCAATACCTATGTTAAATTTGATATAATTTTAAAGAAGAGGCAATGCACATATATATAAATTACCGAGAGACTATAGGCAATCTAGATACATTTCCTTTGTCGAATATGAAAAAAAACTCCCATATTCATGACTGGTTTTCTTAATTATGCGCCCGATCCGGGGTGTATATTGTTTTTTTTCCTGTCTGTCTGTCTGTCTTTTTGTCTGTATGTCCGCAAACTTTTACCTTCGCCATAACTTTTGAACCATGAATGATAGAGACTTCAACTACGGTATGCATACTCCACTAATCATGCTCTTTCAAATGACACTAAGGCCAATGACCTTGTGACCTTGACTCTGACCTATATGCAAAAAACAGCTTTTTTGATCCTTCGCCATAACTTTTGAACCATGAAAGATAAGAGACTTCATATTTGATATGCATACTCCACTTATTAAGTTCTTTCAAATGACACCAAGGTCAATGACCTTGTGACCTTGACTGTGACCTACTAGGAGTATATGCTAAAAATAGTTTTTTCGTACCTTGCCATAACTCAAAAGTTATGGTTCAAAACCATAGAAGATAGAGACTGCATATTTGGTGTGCAAAATCCACTAATTAAGTTCTTTCAAATGGCACCAAGGTCAATGACCTTGTGACCTTGATGGTGACCTGTGTGCTAAAAATAGCTTTTTTGTACCTTTACCATAACTTTTGAACAGTAGGAGATAGAGACTTCATATTTGGTATGCATACTCCACTTATTAAGTTCTTTCAAATGACACCAAGGTCAATGACCTTGTGACTTTGACTGTGACCTATACGCTATAAATAGCTTTTTTTTTTCGAACTTTGTTGCCGCCAGGCGCATATTATTTCACAAACCCATCTTGCTTTTCATTGAAAATGACATTTTAAAATATGGTTTTTCATCTTGTTTACCTACAAATTATGACCTGAAACACCTTATTTGGCCAAGCTAAAGTTATAAAGCACCATTAAAGGAATTTATTTCTCAAATTTGATAAATCTGTAGGCATCTTTCATTTACCAGATCTTGACCTTAAAGTACCTTCATCAAAAAAAGTAAACAGAGTATTTTCAATCAGCCAAGTGATTTTATTTCTAATGAATGATGACACATTTTAAATGAAAATAAAAAAATCTACAAAATGAAATTTAAAAAAAAGACTCAGATTTGTGTTTCAGTGACAACAGATGCATGATACTCTAAAAAAAAAAATCATATTTGTCCTCACGAACTACAATCAAAACATTCTAACATTCCATTCCAATATACACCAAACTATTGTCGTTTCCTATTACATTATACTCAAAGCCAAAACATCACATTTTCAATTTTCTTTAGAATTTATAAGATTGGTCCCAACGAAACATCTTTAACAAATTTTACCTCAGTGCTTATTTCACTCTGTCTTGCTGGTCCTTATCTAGCTTACAGACATTATATTGCCTTGGCTTTGAGGATAAATCGGAAATTAAACACATTTAGCTCTTTGCTCAGCACTATGCCTTGAGTATCTCAACATGAATACTAATCTACTGACCCACAAACGTACAATACATCTCAGAATTTAAACATATTGGTGTAAATTATCCATTCCCTCCTTTTCTTTGCAAAAACTGCATATGGACTTATTTAAAAGCAATTGAAATGGTTGTTGCACATATACAGTCTTGTGCAAAAAATGGAAGACTGTTTTTGGACCGAGAAATTAAAAAAAATGATTGCTTACAGAACTTCTTTAGATCACAGTTAATAACACACGTGGACACACCGTTATGTAATTATGTTCACAAAAAACAGACTTTTTGTTGTAGTTATATTATCCTCCCTGAGAAAGGTGTTCCATTATATTTCTAATAATAAAGCAGTCTAATTCATAACACTAGAATTTCACTAAACTTAATCACTAGTTATATAACTCTAGCTTTTACTATAGTAGACTTCCAACTTGAATTGGACGACAAAGACTTTGATAATATCTCTCTAATAACATGTATAACAGATGTCCTCTTGCTTCGTTACTTTTTAAAAAAAAATCCTTTAAGCTATATAATCATGATAATTTAAATTGTTTCTACATTTTTGCTTAAAAAACATGCAACAAGAAGATAAAATTTGTAATGTTTATAAACATAGGTAAATTTTTGAAGAGTGATTAAATAATGTTATTGTTTAACAATGAACAATACATGTAAAAAAAAAAGTTAAAAATTTATTTGACTACATATGTGATTTCTAACAAAAAGTAAAAATTTTATTGCTACACATAAAATTCTACAAGGTTGTTGATGTAACAATCACAATGGCATTCAGTGTAATGCTTCATTCCTAGGCTTAAAACTTTTGAATGTGAAGCCATGATTCAATCAGCACATTCCAAGCAAACGATCAGACTTTCTATGAAATTCACGATAGTTTATCCACATGATTTCTACAAATCAATGCCTCTAGGAAGAAATACCCAGATACTCCTTCCTTGCAAAAAGAAATTTACAATATTCCAAAAATGAAAATGAAAACTAAAGCTAACCAACGATCATATACAAAGCTACAGCACTATATGCAAGAAATGCCATACATGAAACAAACTCTGAACTACTCTCCCATAATGCAACATACATAAATTTTGATCCATGTAAATTGGAAGGCCACCTAAAGATGCAGGAATTTACAGATATCGCTTTTTGATCAGACCTGTGTTTAATCATAATATGTAAAGCCCCTCTTGCTTTGATATAAAAAAATTTGCTGTAAACAAGTATATTTCCTCCTGTAAATTACAATATTTCTTCCTAGTTTAAATTACAAGTATATTTCTTCCTACTGTAAATTTTACATTTTCCCAGGAAATATACACATTATATGTTGGGTTATGTTTGTAATGCCCTATTTTCACTTTTGAAAAAAATTATTTTTTAAAATTATAAAAATAAATGGCTAACTAAACTATATAATTTTCAAAAGACAGACTGTACTTTCATAGTAACACAAATAACCCCAAAATCAAAAATTCCAAGCATGTTTTTAAATAACATTCCAGAGTTTGGAAGGAATAAGTTTAACCTACTGAACAAAGTGGCTTTGACAAATACATACATAAATATATACATGTATACTCTTGAAATTTAACTTTAAGGTGTATCATACCACATCGACATGTATTTATCTACCGACCAATATTACATAACTCCTACAATAGATCTGCAGCCATTCCAGCTTCTTATCTCATTTTTTCTTATCTATCCGAGTTCATTCTTGTATACAAACAAAACTATATTTAACATGATAAAAAAAAAAAAACAGAATGAAATTTTAAAAATCTGAATGATATAAAAAACACACTGTTTTGTAATTCATTAAACATCTTAAGGGCTAATGCCTTAGGTAAAAAAAATAATGACCAATAAAATTGTACATGTGTATATGCCAAGCAATTCATCACAAATGCAAAAAGCAACATAAGGTGTAAATGATGACATGATTTATCTAACTACCCTAATGGAAAATGAGAGTAGACATAATGAAAGTAGAGATGAATGACAAAGACAAACACATAGACAGGTTTTTTTAGGATGATGGAAATTCCAGAGCAGCAGAGTGGTACACATAGAAACAGAGTTCTAAAATCTTTGTACAAAAATTTTTTTTTTATAAATCAGCATTCACAGTGAGTTGCTATATTGTGTTATACCCAGTTTCACAAGTCTATTCACAAAGTCATTTCATTGAGTTAAGCATTATTATATTGCTTATAATCCATAACATGTAAGTTGATGAGCAATTTTAAAATACCTGATATAAAGGGCAAGTTATAATAATTTTAAAAAGAATTAATATATAATTTTCATTAAAATTTGTTGTCATTAATCATTCCTATTTTACTTAAAAATTGTTTTTAATATTAATTAATTGTTTTCAATTTTACCACAGAAAAACTACTACCTGAATGGACATACCACTTCTTAGATAATGATTTTAGTTTAAAAATTGGAGGAATTTAAAAAGAAAAACAAATAAAAATCACAATTACAGAAAATAACAAGTAAGATAATCTCATTAACGATTAATTGGAAACACTGAAACATTAATCAACAACTAATAAGCTATTGTCATTTAGCGATTGTTCTACCAACATTATTGTTTTGATTTGAACTGTTGAACTATATATATTACATGTCAATCACACAATTAACAAATGGCCGAGGTAGGAATAAAAGAATGTTAACTCTCAAACACAAATAAAGGGGCTTCATTTAACAGTATTTCTTATTGCATAACAGTCCTGTAAAACATGTAGTTCATGACCTTGCCCTAAGACAATGGGCATGGCAACTCTTTAACTCTTCAATATTTTTTTTTTGTATTTTTTTTTAACAACGAAGCAAAACTTTTGTCACAAAACATTTCCTACTTTGTCCGATGCAAAATAATCTTGTATATTATAGACATTATTTTGGTTACATGGAGGAGAAATGCTGCCATATCAAAAAACAAGAAAGATTATTTAAAGGAATTGTGTAATTGTGGAAAAAAAACAATTTTATCCACTTTCATTAAAATTATAGTAAACAAATGTCACAAATTGATGAAAATGTTATGCGTCCAGTGGAGGCCTGTTCAGCAGGGGGGATTGATGACTTTGGATACAAATATAGCACCGATCAGTTAATCCTCTCAGCCTAAGTAATAGGGCTAGTCTGGTGCATGTGGCCTTGACTTATGTGAAGCTGAAATAAAATCCAATTAACCATAATTAATTCAATCATATTTGAGCAAATAGAAGTACAATTTTACTTCAATAGCTCAATCTTGTCTATCTCTATTGCCATGGATATTTTGAAGAAAATTGGAAGTCACCATCAGTTTTTCTTTTCTATAAATCTACTTTGGATATAATTTTTCTTCTAAACTTAAGTGAGTTGCAAAGGCAGCTTGTAAGTTAGCCTGTAATTTTCACTGCTTGATAGTAAGCCCGTAATTTTTCTTCATTGACTTATTTTCATATGCAGCTTTAAGGTTAACCTGTTATCAATCTTACCTTGACTGAGTTGCATAGGCAGCTTGGAGGTTAGCCTGTAATTGTTCATCCCCACTGGCTTGGTCAGGCTGTAATCAAACAAAATAATAAATATCCAATTGTTTTAAATGATAAAAAAAAATATTCCACAATAGGTAATGAAAAATACAGTAAAATCTGTCCTTTCCAGACATCACTGATCCAAAGAAATTGAATTGATATGGCACCATTAAGACAACACCAAAATCAACTGCAATTGAATTTACTGCAAGGGACTTAAAGATATTACGTATACTGCATTAGACAAGATTTCAGATTACACAAGATCCAGAGTAGGCAAGTTTCACTGTATATAATTACTGGACTACATCACATTACAAAGTTTTTACAAAGGCTTTTTGGACTGGTGGATTTTCTTTTCAATTTTCCTTTTCAAACATTAAAAGTTATGTCCTATGCCTTTAATAGTGGCCTATCAAAACTTACATCAATCTGAAGGCCTTGTATCATGGCACCCCCTTGGTATGGAATCTGTGAGTAAGCTGACTGGGCTAGGGGGGAAGTGGCGAGGTACTGAAAGGGAAAAACCACAAACATTAGTGACATTTTCTACAGACGTACTTGAAGGGAAATTTACAAATATTAATGTTTTTGAAAACAATGCAAAAATGAAGTGAAATTTTTTCCAAGAAAAAAAAATTCTCCTGAATTTTTAAATTATCAAATCATACAGTGCTGAATGTTCATTTAATTTGGGCATATATAAGTGTTGTAATTAAAACTGGGTCTTAACATTTACTAACAATTTTTCTTCATGATTTACTGACATAACTGTTTTCTGAGTAACATTTCTAAGGTATATATAGATGTAAATCCACACTGATTAATATCTTTCTAATATACATTAATTAGTCAAGCTTCACATACAACTTTACAATAGATATGTCAAATCTAAGTCTCTATCACAACTACAATGTATGGTTCTAAATACATGTGAATATACTGATAATTATTATGCAGATTTTTACATGACTAATTATTTGAAAAGACTTTATTTTCTCTATTTGTAAAGAAAATGAAGTAATAAAGTACAAAGTTCCAACAAAATTCACCAGCCCTACACAAAAAAAATCTTGTCTGCCTGTGTTGCCATGGCAACAGAGTTACCATGGTAACAATGACATCAAGATCACCAAAGGAAGGATTGTGATATAGGTATAACAGTTGTGGACAGTTGTGATCATCAATTCTCAAACTGACCATCTAAAGCAGTTAATTCTGGAGTGTGAGTGTGAAATATATAAATCAAGCAGTTAAAAAACAGAAATTGATTACACAATTAATGTGATAGAGATTTGAGTATGGTACACGAGAATTGATGACATCACAATCTGTTATCATGTGAGGGCTTGACAGTGGATACACAATCTGTGCAATTGTTATAAGCATTAGTTATGCTAGAAAAGGCCTGCTAAGCAAAACTTGACTTCCCTATTTCTTTTAATAAAGACAAGGCAAAGTTTTCCATTAATTTAACAGTTTTTGAGTCAGTGAGTTTTCATTGGTCAAGTTCTGGTGAGAAAGCCACTCCCATTTGACATCCAGATATATATACAATAATTATATTGGCTGAATAGATTGTTCTGGCTTATATAAACCATACAACTATAAAACAAAACAAAACAAGCCTTTGTGTCAAGGGAGATAATCATTGTATGGTTCACAATAAAGGTCTGGTTTTATGTTCAGATACTTTACAAATGATCAGAGGATGGATTTCATTTTTAAAAAGTTTTAAACAAAACTTTACTGTTCATTTTCTAATTTGGTAAATTTCTTTTTTATTACACTTCAATTGGTCAGTAATAATTTATTTTTTTTTTTTAGGGTTTTCTTTAATTTACGTTAATCAATAAAGCATAAGTATATAAATTACAAACGAGAATTCTAGATTTACTTGCCATCCAATGATATTCCCAAAGCATCAAAACTCACAGGTTTAGAGTATATATATAATATATATATATAAGTGTGTAATCTACATATCATACAGTATACAGAAAATGAGTGTACAAATATTGATATATATGGAAATTAAACACTGGAGCAATGCAAAGAGAGGACTATAGTGTTCTAGTGGGAAAAGAAAACCGACTAAGTCATAAATTTAAAAAGTTAAAAGCACCCACTAGAAGCACCATGTACTCTCTTTTCAAGCATATATATTTCACAACATGCACAAAAATAACTGGAGAAATAAATAAAAAGAAAGTGTTACAGGAAATAAAGCCTAGATATCGTAAAATAAAAACCAACACCACACAATTACCGGGTGGCCATCTTGTTTCCCAGGAGTCCCTTTTCTCGATCCTTTTAATTTTTCTGTTTGCATGTGACAAAACCATCACTGACCCAAGATATTTTATTAATTTAATTCCTTTTTCATAATATGCATCCATTTTTTTAAAAAAACTTAAATAGTATTATTTCGCTTTTTTTCTCATCCATTAAATCCACATTAATCTGCCTATGTCTTGGATCTTCCAGAAGACATATGGAACTCCTTGGGCTTCTTCCAGCATCAGACATTGAAAAAACAGAACTCAGCTTTTATCGATAACAAATGACTTTTATTGCAAGATTCCAATAGTGTCCTTATATTAGTCATTTGTCACACAAAAAAATGAATAACCTTTTCTTGCAGTTTCTTACCCACAGTTAAAAAAAAAATTATATGCATAGTGCATAAAAAATCATTTACAAAAACAAACAAAGACCAGAGAAATGTATGGTTACTGCAAGTCAGTAACGACTGTGTAAAAACAAAAACAAAAAATGTCAAATATATCATGAAACATATCACTCTTCGTCTTTTAATTGCTAAAAAATAAAGGCTCTGAAATACAAACAATCACGCTCAACAAAGATATATTTTGAATGTTATTTTTTTTTGCTAACATACTCATGGTTAAAAATTTAATTTCATTATAAGGATTTTTTGGTTAAGCCAGAGGTAAAAAAAAAAAATATCATATCTACAGTAGAAACAAGATTACCATCACCCATTGAAAAAAAATGCATTGCAATTTTTTAATTATTATTTTTTTTTTTACAAAAGGACTAAACATCTAACATCTATGTACAAATGCAAAAAATTGCCTTCTAACCAAACATATTTAAACAGGAGGACATCCTATCAATGTGATGAAATGAATGGAATAGTTTACATGATAAATAATTTGGAACACCTTCTACAGAGGACAAACAATTGAACATCTATAATTTAAAAGCTTTTAACCCTATAGTTTTTTTTTCTTTTCTTCAAAGAAGATAAAAAGGTAGCAAAGACTGTATATCTATTTTAAGGTAGGCATATTCATGCAAGAATGAGTATATGACCACATTCTTTATCTTGGGTTATTTTTGACTTAAGGGAAGTAACTCTTCTTCTATAAAACTCTGTTACCTCCCTTTGCCTGTTTACATGTACGCCTCTCTCTATAGCACCAAGTTTAAATGCTCTGACTGCAATTTCATTCTCATATAAACATTAATGATTCTCCAAAGGATAATTATTCAAGAATATAACAATGTCTATATATATCTATATATTAAAAAATTATGATATTTAGTACAATTTGTTCTTTTTTCATTTTATACTGGCAAGTCCATTTAATGGATTCTGGGTATACTTTAAAATAAAAAAAAAGGTTACAAAAAAATTGAACATAAAAAAATTATAATTAGAATAAATAAAGTATTGTTCAGTATTTAGGACCTGATAAGTAATATCGAAACAGAGATTAAAAAATTGAAATGTAAGTGAAAGAAACTTAAAAAAAATACATATATATATAAAAGAATCATTTGCCTGAAATTTATTGTCATATCTGATAAACTTTGTTATGTTTGTTATTATGCATTGTAAGTTCTTTAGGTCTTTATACACTTATATATACATGGTGACTTTTTATCAGAAAAAAATGGGTAGTATATAATTATATATGTACTGATAGTGTCAACAAGATTTCTATCATAAGAGGTAGTAGCACTAATCTTTGTATGAAACTTCAATTCTACATATTTAACACCTTTTTTAAAAAAGTAAAAAATTAAAAAGTTGGCAACAATAGGCACGCGTTATATTTTTTTTCTATATATTAAATATTTTTCTCTCTTGGAATATAGAAGTTATCTATAGAGTATACTTAGAGGTACAAGACCAAGCGATTTAAAGCTACTTAATTGGAGTATAATATGGGCAACCACTAACAAAATCTCTCCCTTTTTTTTTGGTCAATGAAACGCAAATTCCAATTTGAATTTTGTCCCATTACTTTTTATCCCCATAATATTTATACTGTTATCAAACTCTGTATAATTCTTTTTACACAAACTACAAACATTAATTTTTATATAATTATATAACAAGGGTTTATGTTACGGTGCTATGCTTATATATATTTCGCAAGGTTATATTACTTATATAGATATATAGAAAATGAAATAGACACCACATACTCGAGTAACATCACAGATGCATAAAGAGGGGATTGCGTAATAGATTTGATGCTGCCCTGAGAAACAATATAAAGATTGTTTACATATGGTCCCACATACGATATCAAAACTCTGCTGTTTATAATCATTAAATCATATTTTTATAAACAGTGACTTAATTATTCTGTTGATACGTAAAGCAAAATTTGATTAAAACTTCATAACTAAATGGACCAGAAATTTTTTTTAAATTCAAAAAAAAAAAAAATTTACGTAGATAAAGCCAAATAAAAGTCCCTTAGTGCATGTGTACTTGCTTCTTATATGAGAAAAAAAGTGTAAGTTTGAAAAAGGAAGATGGATGAAACTGATTACATCTATGTACATATTTACATCACTTTGCATAGAATATCTTCAAATGCCTACTTTTTTCTTCTATCTATCGAAAAAATCCTTCTATTATTCTTTGCACCAGCCTATAATCCTCAAAATGGCGGCCATGTTTTCTTTATATACTTTCCTCTATCATACACTTACAATCTACACCTATATCAATGGTCCTACCCTATTGTATTGCCTCTTTACAGCTCTATGATGTAAACTGAAGAAACGGGTATGAGATGGTTATAATTGCAATAAAAAAGCCTGATGGTAAAAAGATGAGGATATAACCAAATGAAAGAATAGAAAAAAAAATCCATACCACTCATGTTTCAGATACTAGCAGCTATGCACTCCATCAAAAAAAAGTTCAAAACATTAAATGCAGGCATATAAAACAATACAAATTATACAGGGGGAAAAAAATGTAAAAACATTAATGTCACATAACTGATGGTTGTCAAGACGAAAACATGGTTACCATAACAACAGTCATGACAACGTAATGCCATTCACAACATAGTGAGTTGGGCCTATACAAGTCTGTACACATTCTTCACAGTGTTTATGTGGATTAAAAAATTATGAGTATTGGAGGTGAAAAAAGGTAAAGTTCGATTAACACGTTTACTTTGTAGAAGTATAATTTTGAAATCATGTTACACAGGTAATGGAATATATCCCGAGAGAGCCTTAAATATCATCCGGTTGTCTTCTACCAACCAGTCATATCCATGACAATCACATAATTTTTTCAATCTATAAGATATCTCATCCATCACTTTCTTATCTTAATGTTATGTGAGTATACAAGTCATGTGACTAAACAGCCCATCCAATCATATTTGAGAACTAAGATCATGTGACTTCTGAGAGTGTTTGAATAGCTCATTGCTGTTGCCAGAGGCCTACGGATCCATCAGAGAGAATGGTGGGGTACGCGGTGGTTATGGGGTTAAGTAGAGAGGTGGGGGCAGGCGAGGTGCTCTGGGGCAAGACGGGGGAGGTAGATAGCACCTGCAAGAAAAAATACAAGATATATATTAACTTGGGTCTTCTCTCTATATTTGAGTATTTAGGTTTATTTTCCCCCACCACCCTCTTGTTGCCTCATTTAAATCTATCAAGAAAAGTTTCTCAATCTTGAGTCACTTTTGTTTGGTAAACCTGAAGAAGATTTATTGATGGGTTAAGTTTGCTTAGTTTTCCTATGAGTGAGGTTTCCTTATAATTTCGAGAGGTACTGGGTTTAAATAGATATAACTTGAGGATTTCGCTTTTGGATTTACATCTTTCTGTGTTATGCACCAGATGTAAAAAAATACATGTTACGTTACAATACACCCTTTACTTGCGTTGTCATGTATAGTTTATATTATATAATTAAATGGCATAACTGTTTAACTTTGCTACATTTGCATTTTTTACAAATTATTTCAGACTGTTTACTTGGCACATTTGAAAGGTTTGGATGTTGTTGTGCATGCAACCATGTTATTCCTCACATATAGAATATTCTTGCTATCTAGAATCAATGAATTAATGTCCACTTGACATAAAAGCTCTCTCATCCTATGAGAACACAAAATATGACACATATCATCAAAAAGTTGTTATATGCTTGTACTCGTGTAGGACATAAGAATCTATCAATACTACAGTAAAAAAAAGATTTCATTGTGTAAAAAAAACAATAAAAGAAATATACAAGGAAAAATGTCACATGAAAAACCATAAAAAAAATTACAATGAAAAAAAAAAAAAACAATAAGTCAATCCTTACAAGTAGTCTAAAAAATGTCATTTTTTACAGATTAAAAAAAAAATTTAAAAAAAAAGATAAAGAGAGAAAATATATAGCCATGATTGATATATTTTCTCTTTCCTTTTGTTTTTTTTTTGCACATTTGTTTTTAATTTAGTAAGAGTTATGTCTCTTAGTTCTGGTCAACTAGACCAGACTGCCCGGGAAAGTAGGAATACGGACTCACATGGGCCATTGGTGGCTGCATGATGTATCCGGGGTGGACCCAGCCCTGAGCGGCAGCGGCGGCGGGGTTAGTCTGGGCCACCTGGTAGGTCTGGGGGGTGGTGGCTACCGTGTAGCGGGGCAGGGTCAGGCCAGCTGGGGTCATTAAGGCAGGAGTTCCAACTCTGTAATAAAAAAAATATATGGAGATAATGAACAGTATTCAAGATCAAAAGTCCATAAAACAATATACAGTCTGAGCAGAACAAACAAGGACCTCCAAAACACCAGGAGTGGGATCAGGTGCCATGGAGAGGTGAGCATCCCTTGCCAACTGGTCACACTGCCGTGTGCTGTGCATAAGAAATGCATGGTAATTTTTTAATTTGAATTTTAACTTTTGTGCAAAGGGGAAAATAAAAGAAATATATCAGTTAAAAATTCATGTTCATTTTTTTAAAATTGCGTTTATTGTTTTGTGCAAAGGGGGTTTAATACTGCATATGGTTCAAGTAGTTTTTGCACATAGATTTATTTTTGTATGCAGGCAGATTCCAAAAAGAAAGCATTAAACAATCACTTTAAAGTTTATATATTTCCTCCATTCTTCTTCTTTTTTTTTTCTCATTGAAAATATGGCACTTCTTAAATTTTTTTTCTAAATGCAAATTTATCCTTTAATTCCCTAGAAATCACCTTCTTTTTTAGGCTGAGAATAATTTTTTTAGAATGGCCTTGGCAACCACAAAAATCCTCACACAACTTTGAAATTTCTCTTAGACTTATTCTCCCTAGATTTTATTAATGTTATCGATTCCCAAATTGAGGTTATATAAATGCTTAGTATAAAAATACTGTAAAACATATTTTATTTATATAATAAACTGAAACCAATCCCAAAATGGAAATAATTTTTTGAAATCCTCTCCTGTACTGCCCTTAAGTTATTAACTCAAGAGCCCACATCCATTATCCTGGGATCTCACTATAAATATAGCCCTAAAAGACATCAATTCTGAAATGCCATAGAGAGCAAGAGAAAATGTCATTTGTTCAAATACCACCAGCTTAGCAAATGCTCCAAAGTATAATTAAACAGCCAAGAGTTTTGTGGTATGCTCTAGCTGTTTTTTTTTCTAAATGAAATATACATGTATGACAAAAACTTAGAGAGGCCCATGGGCTACATAGCTCACCTGAGTCACACTTCTCAACATTTGACTTGGTTCTAAAAAAACCTTGAAAAACTTTTCCCATTTCTGTTTATAATTAGTTTGTCAATTTGTAGTGTTGCTTATAATTAATAGAACTTCCAAATGTTTTCACAAATTGAATGATCGCGAGATAAAAATCTGAAGCCGATTTTGTGGTCCCACTAAAGTCCCACTGGTCTAGAAATTCCTCAAACCTATTTATTTAGAACCAAAATAACCCATGCCTTGGTTATCTAGCAAATCTATTTAAATAGATGTCATTATTTAATGTAAAAACACAAAATGTCATTCTTCTTAAATTAATTTTTTTGGATTATTTAACATACAATTAAGGTCAAGGCCATGAAAACTTTTAAGGTAGAATTACGAGAAATATTGAATGAAAATCATAAATACTGATTTTGTTCTATAACTAATTTAATGATTATAGTCTGCATGGGTATATATACTAAGCAACTTTCCTATTGAAAATAAACCCATTATGTCCATCTAATAGACTGCTTCGGTCTGAGAGATGGTAGCAATATAAAACAATGTCACATAGGAACACTGTAAGAAAACTATCAAAAAATACTTAATGAGACCACAAAAGTCGGGTTTCATATTGATTAGATGATAAAAAATCCATCCCAAATCGGTAATTTTTATAACTATTGCAACAGATGGTCGACAATAAAATCTGTCAACAAGAGCCAAGTAATTAATCAAAAAGTCACCAGGAGATTAACGATCATGTGACTTCCCCTGGTGGGGGTAATATGGCGCCTCGTTATAAAATGTCTTCTAAATTTACTTAATATGTAAATTACTCTAAAAACACTGGAACTGCCTTCCAAAATATGATGAAGGACAGTTGGTTGGTATATAATTTTTTATGCACCTCTTAAAATTATGAAAATTTCTAGAAATATTTAGGATCTATTTTTAAATTTTCCCACAGGAACTGGAATAACATGTGTGGCACACAATTAATCAATGACAGTCACTGCAAGCTTACTTTCTAATTATCTTTTCCCACTCTCTTATAAAAACATTAAAAGTGTTGCAATATTATATAAGGTGTTTTTTAAAAGTAAGTATTGCAACAAAAAATTCCTTTGAAACACAAGTCCCATTAATATCAAAACTTAAGATGTTTGAATACAGAAATGGTTTACAGATTACTTTTATAAATTAAGAGAGAGTTCTCTCCCCTTACATTGGTACAGCACTGCCTTAAAGAAGACAGTATTCCTTAAACTTACCCATTTGTTGCAAGGGCTTGATCAGCATAGGCAGCTAAGGCAAGGCTTGGCTGTAGAGAAAAAAAGAAAAGCCATCTACATTCTGTTTTACCAATCAATTACAATTATACATTCAAACAAATCATCTGCCAATTTTTCATGCAATCTATAATAGTATTCATCAAGTGTACTGCATAAATATAGTCAATGCTAAAAACTTTTTTATTGAATTTATTTTTAATTAGCATGCCTTTATTATTTGATTTTACTTTACTATAAGTTTCATGAAATTAACAATATGTGTTAATGCACTAGTTTGTTAGTCAACAAATTAGTATTTCAGAAATTTCCTTAACGAAAGGGTGAAGACTATAGTTGTTAATTACAATATATTAATTTAATGCTAAAACCCATGCCACCAACAGATGCACATGCATGCAGCTCAAACAAAAACAGGCAATGCCCTTCAAATGTATATGTTTTTTTCTGGACCTTATCTAAAATAGCAAAAACCTCAGAATTCAAGAGTTTACTCCCTTTTAACAAAGAAATGTATGAAACGATGTTCTAAAGCATGCCAAATATGAGCTGAATTCACATATAAACAAAGAGAGCAGGGGGAGCAAAAAAAAAAAAAAGAAGTACAAAAAACTGATAGGGAGCAAGAGAAAGAGCAAATTGAAAAATGTTTAATTACATCTCCCATTTGTTGGAAGTAGGCCTGTAGGGATCCGCTTTTGTCAAGGCCAACCAAACTCTGGGCCAACTAAAGGAAAAAAATCCGAAAAAACAAAGGTCAGTGTCAAGCCAGGAGAGAGAGAGACAAATAGAAATTGTACTGGTTCTCTTGGTTTTTTTTTTTTTTTGCTGGAGGAGAACCAGTTTACTGGACTGACTTCCTTAAGACTTCAGTTTCTGCATCTAATTTTCATTACTCTTTATTTTATTTGGCTAATATCTCTCAGTGAAATTTTTAGGTCAATGCATGCATAATTACTAACATTGTCACGAATCATATTTCTGTCAATTATGACAAAACCTTTTAAGATTTTTATCATGCTGAAAGTATTTATTTCTTTTGCCATGCATATAGTATGATTCGGGTCTAAATTACACAACAAGATGAAAAATGCTCCATAAATGTGCTATTTATAATCTCACTATGACTATGTAGCTATAAAGACCACAATTTTGTGCATTGCACTGCAATTCACTTGTAATTGTTATGATCATGCCATGTTTTTAATATGCTCAGTGGAAATCATATTTCTTCTTTTTTCCCCTCTTTAAGTCATTAATTCAAATGACTTTTGTTTTTTTTTTTTACGAAAAGCAGATGAAATCTCTCATCTTATATATATCTTGATGGATAATATAAATATGAGTAATAGATTACACTTTTTATCAAATTTAAAACTAAGAGAGAACTATTTCTAGCTATAAATGCAAATACGAAATGAAATCACTTTTCCAGATATACCAATATATTTCTAATATGAAATAAAAATTATGCTGGAAGAAACATTACTGGTGTATTATAAGGGTTAAATAAATTCAATTAAAAAAATTAGTCTTTATTTTAGCTGGGTGTCCCATAAAACTTGAAATCTGGCAAAAGCTAACACCCATGGCAACCATCACCATGGCAACTGGCTTACCTCATTCCTCATTTGTGGGATGGCTGTCTTCTTCTTGTTTCCTCCATCAGCAAACTTCACCAACAACGGCTCTGTGCAACCTTTAGAATAAAGAAAGAAATATTAAGATGCTATGAATTTATAAAGAACAAGAGGCCCCTGGGCCTTATAGGTCACCTGAGCATTATTCAACAACTTTCCAGTGACTGAATTTGATCCATGTTTTAAGCCAGATGCTATAGCATTTACAATCTGGTCATCATAACTATACACTTAGCAGTTCCTTAGTTTGGTTACTTTATACCCATAGGCAGGGTAGGGGAACAAAAAATGCATTTCAACTAATCAGTAATATTCAGCAATAATCAGTAGTGCCACTACCACACATGAACCCTTGACTCTAAGGCCTAGATCCACACATTGCACTATTTTTGGAAAGGCATACTTGCTTTTCAAAAATATTTGATTAATACCAAGGAGCACATTTCAAACAATTCATTCATTTTCAGTACATAAGTACAGCCCCCCCCCCCAACTATGGTACAACTGACCCTGGGGCCTTGAAATTTACAATTCTTGAAGATTAGGGATTGCTCATAACTATATAGGTAATTCATCTGCTTAAAACCTAGGAGCAAAGATGAAAATATTCAAAGATTTAATGTTTTTTCACTATACATGTATAATCAATACAGCCCCGCCCTAACACCAGAATCCCTGACCCTGGGGCCATAAAATTCACAATTTTGGCAGAGGCACTCTTGTTCATCATAACTATGTACTTAGTTAGTTTATTTAATACCCAGGAGTAAAGAAGAAGATTTTCAAAGAATTCATGTATTTCCTCTATATAATCAATAGAGCCCCACCCTGACACCAGAACCCCTGACCCTGGGGCCATAAAATTCACAATTTTGGTAGTGGCACTCTTGCTCATCATAACTATGTACTTAGTTAGTTTATATAAAACCTAGGAGCAGAGAAGAAGATTTTCAAAGAATTCATGTATTTTCACTATATAATCAATAGAGCCCCGCCCTAAAACCAGAACCCCTGACCCTGGGCCCAAAAAATTCACAATTCTGGTAGAGGCACTCTTGCTCATCATAACTATGTACTTAGTTAAATTATATAAAATCTAGGAGCAGAGAAGAAGATTTTCAAAGAATTCATGTATTTTCACTACATAATCAATAGAGCCCCGCCCTAACACCAGAACCCCTGACCCTGGGGCCATGAATTTCACAATTTTGGTAGAGGCACTCTTGCTCATCATAACTATATACTTAGTTAGTTTATTTAATACCCAGGAGTAAAGAAGAAGATTTTCAAAGAATTCATGTATTTCCTCTATACAATCAATAGAGCCCCGCCCTGACACCAGAACCCCTGACCCTGGGGCCATAAAATTCACAATTTTGGTAGTGGCACTCTTGCTCATCATAACTATGTACTTAGTTAGTTTATATAAAACCTAGGAGCAGAGAAGAAGATTTTCAAAGAATTCATGTATTTTCACTATATAATCAATAGAGCCCCGCCCTAAAACCAGAACCCCTGACCCTGGGGCCATAAAATTCACAATTTTGGTAGAGGCACTCTTGCTCATCATAACTATGTACTTAGTTAAATTATATAAAATCTAGGAGCAGAGAAGAAGATTTTCAAAGAATTCATGTATTTTCACTACATAATCAATAGAGCCCCGCCCTAACACCAGAACCCCTGACCTGGGGCCATAAAATTCACAATTTTGGTAGAGGCACTCTTGCTCATCATAACTATATACTTAGTTAGTTTATTTAATACCCAGGAGTAAAGAAGAAGATTTTCAAAGAATTCATGTATTTCCTCTATATAATCAATAGAGCCCCGCCCTGACACCAGAACCCCTGACCCTGGGGCCATAAAATTCACAATTTTGGTAGAGGCACTCTTGCTCATCATAACTATGTACTTAGTTAGTTTATTTAATACCCAGGAGCAGAGAAGAAGATTTTCAAAGAAATAATGCATTTTCACTATATACTTATTTAGCCCCGCCCTAGTACAAGAACCCCTGACCCCAGGGCCATGAATTTCACAATTTTGGTAAAGGACTCAATGCTGATTACAATCATGCAAACAGTTTGACTGCTTGATGTCCAGGAGTAAAGAAGAAGATTTTTGAAGATTGCATTAATTTTAGTGGTTTTGGCCCCACCCCCCAGGCCCCAGGGGGGCAGGGATCATGAAATTCACAATTTTTGTTCCCCTTCACCCATAGATGCTTTGTGCCAAATTTGGTTGAAATTGGTTCAGTGGTTGCAGAGAAGAAGCTGAAAATGTTCAAAAGTTTACGACCGATTGACGACGAACGACGTACGACGAACGACGTACGACGGACGACGACGGACAAAAACAGATAGCAATAGGTCACCTGAGTCACTCAGGTGACCTAAAAATATATATACATGTATTTTCTTCTTATTTCTTGAGAAGCAATTTTTTTTTATGTCAAATAAGCAAATGGCTGTTTATCCTAACATTTTTTCACGGATTTCTCTTGCATGTTGACTTGAATTTTCAGGGACAAGCACATTTAACTCAAATATGCTTTCTACCTGTGCTCTAAAACTTTGTATTAATATTAATTGTTCATTGCACCCTTTTTAAAAATCTTTTGTCAAAAAGTGCAAGTCTGAAGATGGCCTGGAAATTTTTTATTTTCTGAGCTCACAAAATACACTGAGGGGTATATAGTAGGAAACTACAAGGTATGCAAGCAAATAAAAAGGTTAAACCTATTACTGTCAGTCAAAATATGACCCTTGTACCGTCACTATCCGAAGGCCTACTAAATTGTAGGTCAAAAACATAAAACGACAGTGAATGCCCGATAGCGGAAAGCGGTCATCCTAGCAGAAAAACAAACTCTTTGACTTGATCTACAACAAAATCCACCTGCCATTATATTTTAGACACCCTAACAAAGTAAGGCTAGTGAATGTCTCAGTGACTCTGTAATATAGCGCCTAAGTTCAACAAAATACGAGAGTCTTCATGGTATGAGTCTTCATGGTATACGCATTGCATAAGAAAACCAAGTCATGGCATTCAACGCCTATGAATGACATTGTTTTACTTTGACGTTGTCTTTTATTAAAATCTAATTAACCAAATTTTCCTTTTGAAAAATCGCATAGGAATTTTTCTTCCAAATACAAAAGACCTTTTCTCTTACAAAGATAATGCAGCAAATTGACACAAGAGAGAGAGAGAGTGCTTACACATAAGGAGCACAATCAGTCATGCTGAGTTTGTAATTACTTGCAAATAACACGGTGTTCAAAATGATTTGACACACTGAAACCTGTGTCAGTCAATTCACTTCATTTAATACCGTTATAGGGCTCAAATATTGACTTTCTCGTTCCTAAGCAAACCAAGTGCAACAAAAGATTTTCTCCCTTCAAATGACATTTCCCTGCATTTTCCTCTCAACAAGGTCTCTGTATGAAAAGACCACATTCAATCTAGGACTTAAAAACTTGTATAAGGCTGTTGCACTTAGTACTATCAAATTTCAATTAAACCCATTTTTTATCAGATATGGTATAACCCCACAATCTGTCAATAATGCCAAATGCAATCTTTATTCAGGGAGTGTATATATTAGCTGGATTTGTTCATGCCAGATTTTTTTTAAAAGGTTTATAAAATTTGAACTAAATTGTATTTTTGATATTTTATCAAATATCTGCAACCAAAGTGCTTTAAATCTTAAATTGGGAAATATTTCTTAATCACACAATCATTTCTTTTCAGAAAATACATGTACTGAATCCAACTTAATTTTTTTTATACAGTAAGCGAAACTTATAAAAAATAATCAGCTACATGTATTTCATCCATTTTATGTGATAAATAAACCAGGACTTAAGGGGATTTTCATCATGGTTAATGTCTACGAAAGGCCCTAATTTTTCAAAATTTTAATATTCAAGCAATAAATTAAATTTTCTTTGGTTTCACAAAACCCAGATTTTGTTTGTACCTGGAAGGATTTTTCCGTTGAATTGATCAATGATCCTCTCGCATTTTTCTTTGGATTCCATTCGGCTAAACCCGACCCCTCGACTGATTCCGTCGGGCTTCCGTAAAATTCTTGTGGATATCACGGTACCGTAGTCCTTGAACATATTCTCTAGATTGGTCTCGGCAAAGTATATTGGAAGGTTGGCGATATATAGATTAGTAGGGTCCTGCTCTTGTTGCTGAAAAGAGAAAAAAGTAAAGTTATTTCTCTACATAAAGAATGACTTGTGTACCAAAAAAATTATTTTATATAAACACACATGTAGGCATATACATTGATTTCAAAGGAGAAAATGTTTGGCTGGAGCAGGAATTGAACCCAGGACCCCTACATCACTTAAGTCTGTGTGTGCCAATGAACTTTATGGTGTGTTTTTCATCCATCTATACCTCTCAATACTTTAATACCTAAATTATCTGTTTGTTGTGAGCTAGCTGTATACATAAAGGTTCTCAGCAATATATAATGTTTAAAATCTTTTCCATCCAATGTATAATGTTTTCTTTCTATGTATTATTTTTTTTCCCCTCTTCTCCAAATTGCTACATCATACCAAGAGGCTCAGGAGAGTTTTGTACAAATGTGTCTATGCTGGCTATCCCCCCCCCTTCCCCTGCCTAAACATGACTGAAGAACCAACAGAGATGGTAGAATATTTATCTGTCCCGAATTAACCAAGTGATCACAAGAAGCTTTTAAAAGCATACCCTGGAGCATGAAATCAACCAACAAAAATGCTAATTTTATTCATGAGATGCTTGTGCAAGATTCTACCCTCAACCGCCTCGTTTATTTCACACGATGATGCGGTAAGAAATTTCAGGTCAATGTTCACCGTAAAGAAGCAAGAAAATCGTTGACCCCTAGGTCAATATCTCTTGGCCCATGTACACATGCGGAAAAAATACTAGCTTTAATAAAACAGAAATTAGTCTAAAACAATTTGACTGTAAATACTTGAAAATTACTAAAAGTCATACTTGAATTGCATTCAACACTTTTTATTACTCAAATTATCTTTACTGTCCTTAAAAGGCATTATGACAGCTCAAATACACCTAGCATTTTTCTGAATCGACCACTAAATTGATAAAAGATCATTATATATGCATTCTGTTGGCTACAAAATGATTGATTTTTCAAATAAAGGGCTTTGAACCTCTTCTATTAATTGACACAAGAGCGATATTTTTTTTTGTAGTGTAAAAATGCCCCTCCCTCTTTTTGCAGTGTAAACAGATGACAAGAAACTAGGAATTTCTAATGTTAGTTTGACACCATGTATACACAAAGCTCATAAATATGTGGTGTTCATTCATGTGTGGGCTCGAACATTCAGGTATCTGTCAAAGGTAATGTATGGCTAAACACATATTTACTATTACACGTCACTTCATCCACATTTTGAAGCTACCGAACACATGCAGACAAAATTTGCTAAATCATCAATTTTATTTTTCCATTTCAATTTGAATTTTCCCTTAATTAATGAAAGAATCTGAATCATATTGTTTCAATGTGAAATCCAAACATTAAAAAGAAAGAATTTGTGGATTTTTTCACATCTGCAAAAACACTCTATATATATAGTCTTGGCATTCCTGATGTCCAGTGCAACAAACTCAGAAATAAATTGTCCCTTTGGTTGGGTCTGGCATTTTTACTGGAAAATGTCACATGAGTGTGATGAATTGTTCTATTTAAGTGTGATTCATCAGAAAAATTGGAATCCATTTGTTGCTATGGCAATATAAACAGGGAGAACAGAGGGTCAGAATAAGCGGTTAATTCAGAAAAAATTGTCAATAAATTGAACATTTTATTTTCATTGATAATTCTATGGCAGATTTTTCAGTTGTGTCAAAAAAAAAAATGCATCTGGTTTTTGCAACTGAGAGAATTAAAAAGATGAGATTTATAATTAAGTCAAGCTGTTTCCATCCGTTTTGCAATTTTGAGAAATACACATGTTTCTTATGGAAATATATATGATAAATCACAAATTTCAAGTAATATCTGCCCTAAATTTTCAGGTTTTAAAAAAAAAATTGAAAAAAATCTCACTAAATCAAAAATCCCGAGTGATTTGTGCCTGCCATGCTGCAGACAATTTGGAGATAAGTTGTGTAAATCTGTAGATTGCATGACTCTGGGAATGCTTGGCTTTGACAAATCGTTTGCTGTCATGGTATTCAGGCATATAGTAACAGATAGAAACGGGGGCAATGACAATCAATACACAGATAAATGGAGATAATCCCAAAACAAATGAGCCTTTCCATGCACACCCTTCATCAGTTACTTCTGAGAATAATTGCCCAGTCTGATCTCTGCCGTACTACCCAGGAAAAATAAAATAAATAAAACTCAAGAATCTGAGCAATTAATAGACTTCAAAATAAATCTAGCTTTTTTGGTTTTCTATGAAGAAATGAGCTACCCAGAAAAAAAAAAAAAACTTTCGATTCTGAGCAATATCAATAGACTTCAAAAATAATTCTTTTTTTTCTCCATATAGAAATGAAGCTGTTCTTTTAGATTTTAAAATCATTTTAGTCTGATCTCCACTGTACTAACAAAAAAAAAAAAAAAAATTCTTGATTCCGAGCAATTAATAGACTTCAAAATAAATCTTTTAATTTTGTTTTCATACAGAAATGAAATTGTTCTTTTAGATTTTAATTCATTTTTGCATTAAAAAAAAGCTTTAGTAATTTTTTTTTTAATATACTCCAAACAAGGGCACCCTAATCGCTTCTGTACAGATATGTTTCCTATGCCCATTGCAGATTAAAGCTACTTCCATTAGATAAATGGACTATGATATATTTTTTTTACAACCCCCAGATAGAAAATTGTTTTCAGCTCATGTTCCTGATTCTAATGGCATCATCAACTGAAAACATCCCAATCCCGCTACTCAATATCAACAAGACCTGAATCCCAAGGCAGCTGATATTACAGAATGATAGGAGCCGCTTTTCATCTCATTGTATGGGATTGCTGAAAAACAATCTTGCCAATCATACATTGTGCAACTAATTGCTGTAATTTTGTCTCAGCATCTTAAGGATGGAGGGTCCTAAATGACTAATGACTTGTTTCTTTATGGCTGCTGATAAAAAAAAGGGGGGTTTCTCTTTCTGTTTTCTGCAAGGTCTTATCAATGTTTCAGAGAATTGGTTTTGGATGTGAGGGGACTTATCTCCCTAAAAAAATGATCAATGTATATTGGCTGCCATTGAACTGCCTAGTCTTGTGTTATGTAAAAAAAAATATTACAGTAATATAAAAATTTTATAAACCAACTGGGAAAATGTACTACAAAAAATAACATGTAAAAACAAGACATAGACCAATTCATCACGGAAATCATAAAGCTAATAGTACCAATTTTTCCCATAATTTTTTATCAGTACAAAGTATCGTGAACAAATACGACAACGATATCAGAGGCGTCATCAAGTACTCATTGTTTGTGTACTGTCTCCTATGGAAAGATGTGAAAGGGTAAACAGTCACTTATTCTGCTATGTTCCCTTATCTTAGTATCACACTTGTATTATTTATGACACTATTCAATGACTGACAAAAGCTGCATAATTGGGATTTGCATATTGAGTGGTGAGTGCATTTTTCTGCTTCAGCCCCATTCACCTTCTGCACACAATGGATGGATATATTAAATGGTGGAAGGTGCTAGTATCAGGCTATGACAATGTGGTGCAAAAGCTAAATCAAGGTTCCATCTTAGTCACCGATGTGATTTTTTGACATGTTAAGACATAGAGCTGGAATGTCCACTTCACTTGGGGGTTAGTGTTTACAAGAGATATTTTAGTATTAAAGATTTAATAAAGGTTCTGTATGAAAATCACCCCTGGCCAGTGCATGCAGCCTAATAATAACTGTGCTGGTAAGAATCAACCTATGTGCTGGGGAAGGGGTGGGGTGGGGTGAAAGGGGTAGAGGAACTACGGACTACCCTAGGATTATGACTGTGCTGGGGGAAAATCAACCCCCTCCTAGCTACTTTTGACTATGCTGGGGGAATGTCAAGCCTCTCTAGTCTATAATTCTGCTGGGGAAATGTCAACCTTCTCAAGTCTTTAATTCTGCTGGGGGATTGCATGAGACTGTAAGGCTTGAACAGCAACAGCCTATGTATGTGTCGGGGGGAAAATCACCCCTTCTCAGCCTACGACTATGTTTTTGTTTGGGTAGGATGGGAGTGGGTCACTCCTGTCTTTTACAGGAGGGGGGGGGGAACACCCTGTTAAGCCTGGGGGGGAGGGGTCACTTCTGTCTATGACTTACTTTGGCCATCTGAGCCTGGATTCCCTGTGACTGTAAGGCTTGGACAGCAACCTCTGCTGCTGTGGGTGACTCAAAGTCCACAAATCCATATCCTACAAAATACAGAGCAACATAAAGAAAACATATAGAACACCACCATGCCAGAACAGTATAAAGAAAACATTTTAGAACACCAACAATACCCCTTATCATATAATTGGAAGGGCCCCATAGTTCACTCCTGATGTTAAAACATGCAATTTTACATAATACATGTACATATTCTGGCTAGACTATATTTTTTATACATTTCACAAAACCATTTTTATTCTGAAACAACGAAAATGGCACTTATATATTCACTATAGAGAGATTCTGTCGGAACATGCATATCAGTAACCCTTGGGACCAACAAAACAAAATACACATCTCTACTTTGGTGTTTTATGGACCATATTATTTCATTATCCTCCATAGGAGCTCCTAGGGGACAGTAATTAAATACACATCAGTGACTCTGATACAAGTACTGCTCCCTTATAATATGGGGGTTTTAATGCTCTAAATCACATTACATATGTTCCACAACAGTTCTCAGTTTCTAGGAGGTCTTGAACTTCTGGATTGTAAATCATTCAGCTTAAAAAATTAGAATCTTTCCACCTATAAGAACCTCATGTTTACAGGGGGGCAAAAATACAATGAGCTAGCTTGTCCATAGATAGCAGTAATTCCCATCCTTGGTCAGAAAATTAAGTTGTTTTTCCAAGATTTTTTGCTTTTAAATTTTCTTTCAAATCATTGTCTCATGTTTACATGGGGGCAAAAATACAATGACCTAGCTTGTCCATAGATAGCAGTATTTCCCATCCTTGTCAGAAAATTAAGTTGTTTTTCCAAGAGTTTTTGCTTTTAAATCTTCTTTCAAATCATTGTCATATCTAACCGAAATGATCCCCCATAATTATATAACCAAGTTCAAAAACCAGACCTTTTTAGAAGACGGTGCATCCATCTAATCTAAACAAAATAAAATTTTCTAATTTAAAAGCAAATTAAACTTCAGTTAGACCCAAACGCTTCATTACGGGAAGAAATTATATCTGATTGTCCCATATTGATCTCTGGTTTCCGATCGTTATCAAAATCTGCCTACAGACAGTGTGTCGCAGTTCTCCAATCACGGCTTTTACTCCTAACTACGCATAATAATAGCATTTCTGATGGGTGCTTTTTACAATAATTGGTAATTTGGTGAATGCAATCTTTTTCCATGGCCAACCAAATTCCACCGAGGTGCCTCATATATTATGGGGTTAAATGAGGTCAGCTCTATTTCATATCTCTTAGAGGTGTCAAGAAGAGCAGATTCTGTTTTCTCTCAGGCTTACCATTTCTAATGAAAATTAATTTTTTATACCTAGACATTTCCGTGGAAAGAAATTCCTATCCTGGATTTTCAAGCCAGGTGCATGAAAGTATTTTACCAATCCCTTTCAAAATTCCAAACATTGAAAACAAATACAGTTTTCTATATCAGAAACCAAAAGTAAATTGCTAGGGACACTTTTAAAAAAGTTGCCTGTGTACAATTTTTTTCAAAATACAGCGAAGCCTCAATTTCATAACCCTGTTGTTAATCTATATTCTAAAGCTTATTGTCCCAGATAAATTGGTTCCACTGTAGCTAATACATGTAAACTCACCTTTACATTTGTTGGTTTGTTGATCTATAATGGCTTTGGTGGAAATAATTTTGCCATATCTACAAAATAAAGATTTCTTTTTAATTAAAGTTGTCACAAAGTTATAATTATGGTATTTAAAAAAAATCAGATTTCATGACATATTTGATGTTCATTTAATTTTGATATAATAAACAGGTATGTTACACTTTAAGATTAGCTTGTACATTATTTCAGAAAAAAAATTATTGGTATTGAATATTTTTTTTAGCATTCTAGCATGATTTAACTACCGGGTAATATTATAAGTGTGTCCAATATCAAGAATTGTGTACAATGTGACATATGTGTTCTATGGTCTTGTAAAATGTGAAAAGTCATCGTAAAATACAAATGGTTGATTTAATGTAAGGCATATGTCATATATCTACAGGTTTAGTCTTGTACACACAGAACTTTCATTGTATTTCAAGAAAAAAAAGGAAAAAAACAATGTGCTTGAACAAGATAAGGAGCTATATTCAAGGGGCTATGAGAAAATGAAACCTGATATACTTCTCAGTGAACTTGAAATGTCATTACAGATAAATAACCTCACCAAAAAAGACATAACTCTTGTCGGTTTACCAAGTTTTAAAACCTTTTTAGAAAAAAAATTTAAAATACCCTTCAAAATTGGCAACAAGTACATTTTTTGTAAAATGGCAATTGATTCATTGACAAGATTTTGAGAACAAGTAACAAAAATCTTAGATAATATTATCTTGGTCGAGTTTTTAAAATGTTCTTTTTGTACTGATAAACAAAGATCATTCCTCTGCAATGAAAAGCCCTGATGAAGACAGCAATCAGGTGGGAGGAGAGAAAAAAGAAGAAGGTATCTTGTCTTTGCTTCTAACAGGTCTCCTGTTGCTAGATAAAGGGCTCCCCCCCCAAAAAAACTTATCAAAATTATCACCTAGATTCATCAGCATGGTCTGTTTAGAGCAAAAACCCAGAGATGACAAGAATTAGTTCTGGCTATGCTTGGATTCATGGTGTATCATCTACAACTGCATTAATGTAACTTGGTTATCATGTAAAGAAAATCTTGCACTGACCCAACAACAACTTGCTTTTATATTTTTCGTGCCATTACATAATAGTCTGTCCTTGGCAAATAAATCATAAAATGGCAGGAATTAAGTTTTTGTCACCCCCCCAAACCAGGGAAAACCTGACTTCACAAGCTAATTATAACCCTGTCCTCCATGTTATAAGGTTTAAGATTAGTACTGGGGTTTTATATTACTAAATATCATCCCATGGTCTTATGTCTGGGATGGTGTTGCACGAACATTAATTTACGCACAATCTTTTTTCACTCTCTGTGCTTGATGAATTTTATGCAGGAGAGATCAGATTGCATAACTCTAGGCAAATCACAGCTCCTACAGATTGACAGATTCACAAGATAACTTCTAAAAAGACCCGAACCTGCTTGACATTAATTTGAATTTTCTCCTGCTAGAAAAATCTCTTCTATCAAATCTCAGACCCCTTGATTTTTCAGAATTGCATTAAAAAAAAAACTCTGCATACCAGAATGCGAAATGAAAAAGAGATAATGTCAAGACTTGTACGACTGACATGAGCCATTTCACTCCCTTGGTAACCACCATTATGCAAGATTTAAATTGCCTTATTAACTTTCTTCCCTCATGAAAATCTTCTTGTATCAAGATGATATATTTGGTTAATTAGTGGTGCCTCCGTGTTCTATATCTTTGTCCATTTATTTTCCGCAGATAACTTATGGTGACTGGATCGAAGAATCTGACACCTGCATTACTACTGACACTCCAGGACAAACACCGAATATTTCACCCTTTCTCCACTGTGACATTGGAATGTCCTCTAAGAGCACATATAAACAATTGGGGGGTATTTCAAGGACTTCCATTTTTCTCCCAAAGACTTTTTTGTAACAATGGCGTAAAACTTGAGCACGTTTTCCAGTTTATTGAAAGTATAATAAATGTAAAGGTCACTTATCATAGTATAAACTGGAATGTTATAAACATTTTTTTTCAGCTAGTGTATGACCTTCACAACCAATCAACTACAGGGTCAGAGAAGTCAAATTATTGCTCACAGGAATTATGATTTAATTAGTAGTTTAAAAATTTAATGGTCATGTCAGCTAAGTAAACTATACTAAACATTCATTCATTCTTCAATTTAAATAGTTTCAATACAACAGGTAAGTGATTTATTTTTAAATATTGATTCCAAGAAATGAAACAAGCTAGGTTTTCTCAATTTTATATATTAATTCCAAGAAATAAAACAATGTTTTATCAATAACTTTAAAACAATCTGTTATCATAGATTATGCCATGGGACATGAAGCTTACATGACAGTTAAATATGCTTAGTACCTTCCTACTGACTCAACAAAACACTTCCTGTATTTATGGAATCATTGACCTAATAATTAAGTCCTTCCTATTAAAACCCTGAATTAAAATATAATCATTAGCTAATCCCCCACTTCATATAATTCTCTAGCCTCATGGTCCGCCAGCTAATATCAGCTGAACAGAAAGGACAAGGCTAGTTACTCTGTGTAATCAGCTAACTAAGCTTGACTAATGCCTTCTTCATTTTCCACCAAGTCACTTTGATGAGGGGGAAAGCCAAGCTGATAACCCAGGCAACCTTCACCCCGGAGCAGGGGGCTCCAGACGGAATCGGCTGCCAACATCAGACCTCTGTTCCTTTCTTCTGAAGCAGTGAGATTTTTGTTTTTTTATTTCTATGTGAACAAATTGAAAGCAGGGTTAATTGAGACCTTGAACTTCATCAAAGGCAAACTTCTGGAGCTGAAACTTTAGAATGATACAAGCAATTGTTTGTGTAGAGCAATGGTCATGCCCTGTAAAAACTCTCAGTAAAAGTTTTTTTTTAAAGCAACACAAGACCTCAGGGTTGTATGTAAGAATTGAAATAGCAATTAAGGTGCATTAAAAAAAGTAGATTGGGAATTGATCATGTTCATCCACTACAGGGGGTTGTAGGTGGAATATCAAAATAACCACTGGATTAAGTCATTATAGGTGGGGAAATTCCCTGGCCCCCAGGTCTTATAGACGATCAGGAAATCCCAACACTTAACTTTCAATACCATGTTCATAAAATGGGCTTTATACAAAATGGTGCAATGACTAGAGCACACTGCAAATAATTCACATTAATTGTCTACTTATTACTGCATCGTTCAAAGAGCTTGTCATTGCAGACTAAACATCAATACTATTGCCACTACATGATTTGCAGCAACTTATGTAGACATGAAGACTCCAGAAAAAAAAAACTCCAGATTTCTAGCAATGATGCCTGAACACTCTGCAATTCTCCTACCAGCTCTGAGAAAATGACATCCAAACTTTTAAAACAAACATTTGACAAATGCACATAATCTGCTACCCCGTGATAAGAAACACATGTCAAATGTGTATCCTACATCATATTTTTTCTCTCTCCCTCCAAAAAACTTGAATTACATAATCTTATGTGAAAGTAGCTCTTTGTGAAACTCAATGTGAGAAAGTTTTCTAGCAGTTGACCTTCATCTGCAAAAGCTTAGTGTACGTGAGGCCAAGAGATCTGTAGAAACTATAATACCACCAACTCTGGAAGGCAACAACATTATCTGTGGCTGGCTTTTAATGAAATATTGCTGATGAACTTGGGTGATCTGAATTTGTAGCTGCTGTGAATTTATTATTTCTGTATGTATATAATGTACTGAAAGGATCAAGTCAAAAAAACATCTCTCCGCATGAAGTTCAACATTTCTCCATAAAATGGCTCACTTCTTAATTAATAACATCAAGAAAACAAGTGTCTTATGATGCTGAATATACACTAAAACTTCAGAATCTTTTCACCATTGATGATGACTGACAGTATGATCTTTCAATGACCTTGACCCTAACCCACTCACAAAAAATGCGACCTTGACCCTGTGTCACTCTAGTAAATCTCAACTCTATCTGGCAAGAGAATCTTGTATCCATGAGCAGCTCCCATGTTTTGCAGGTTAAACTCAAGCCTGTACACATGCCTAATCAGCTCTGTTTCACATAAATCAAGATCATTTTGCTGGGCAAATAAGAAATCTGACATTCCTGAAGAAATATTTAGACTTGCACGAATTAGTATCTAGTCTAAACAAAACATGTCTGCCCCGGTAGTCTTATTAATTGGCAATCTCTTCGGAAGTGGTGTAACAGGTTCCTGAATCATCAATAAGACATGGGAACCCCTTATCAAAGCCCTCTATCCAGTATTCTTTTCCTCTCTCTTAAGCCAAGTCTGTTACAAAAAAGTTAGCCAATATCATTTACATAACAAAAGATGCATGACAAAAAAAATGGGGCTTGATGGGTTTTCTCTGTTTCGATGCAACACTCTGATAACAGTTTTCATTGCAAATTGCATAGAAAATCATTAGCATGGTAGGCTGGTATCAATTTTTTTTTTTTTGCTCTGTACCAGCAGGCCTCCTACAGCATTCTTTCTGATTTTTTTTATGGTTTTCTGATGACCAAATCCTCAAGTCTTTTGCTTCATTTCAGTTGCCATGGTAATTCCATAAAAACCAGAGACAACACATATAGATATGTCATTATTAAAAGCCCTTCATGAACTGATCATGCAAACAGTTCAATGTCATCGACTTTTATAGCTTTGCTTTCTAGATTTTTGAAGCATGTGCTAAGAGTAAATGCCCAAACTGAAGAAGATAGCCTTTAATTAAAAATGTTTCTCTCTTTTATGTTTTACATATTATGTCGTTCAAAACTGTACTTAGCGTTTCATCAAAACTCTTCATTATGCACAATTGCAGCTTCTAGTAATTTAAAGCTTTAAAATCGTAATTGAAGAGACAAACTGTTGAGTAGGAAAGATTATCGTGTGGTCTGGGTGCCAATTTTAATGATTAAATGACAATTAACTTGGAGTGGGTCCGCATCCATATTGATGGAACAGCAAACCGATCAATGCTTTTTTTATTGCATGCTAATACGTGTTGTGAACTTTGTCATTTATAATTCATACTCAATGTATGAAATTATAAAACTTAATATTTCGGATCAGATTTGATACTCATGCACGACTCTACAGTTTGTAATACATAATTCATACTTCACATAAGTAGCCCATGATTCATGAAACTTTCATCTGGTATAACGTTTCCAAACTTTACAAAAACATTTCTGTACCACTTGTTCGGAATAATTGTGTGTATAGTGGAACAGAAACTGTAGCACTTATGATGTGTAGTGTGCTTTTCCTCCCCGTTTATTAAATCAGCATGACGAATATCTTGGGCTGATTTAAAAGTTTGCCACTGGAGTGGGGATGTGTTTAGATCTTTTTCACCTCCTTTTATAAAACGTCTTGGGAGTTATTTATATTTTTACATCATTCTCCAAACTTTCTTGGATCTCTTCATCCCAAAATAATTCTGTGACTCATTTGATAAATTCAGTGTAATTGCATCAATTTTCAGATAACATCTTCCATGTTAAAGCTTGTTTGTGACCTTGATTTCCATGGTAACCATGATCACATATTTTATACTAAGTGTCATGATAAAGAAATAAAATGACAACATTTATTTGTTTTGAAGACTCTCATTGCACAAAAATCTATCTTTCGCCAAAAATAAAGTCCCATAGAATCTGTTTTCCTCAAGAATCTCTTAATACCAAACATCCGTATGAATCATCCAGACTTCAGAAAAACGGTGAAATTAAAAAGATCGCAATGGCATTTTTCTGGCTTCTCACACTGGAAATGGTACAGCGGACGTCTTCCCAGACCGCCTTGACAAATGAGTCACGTTTAGAAACCCAAAAACTGGGGAAAGATTGAAAACCTCTGTTTTTTCTATCTCTTTGTCAGTTGTGTGTTTTATATATAAGTTGTGCAAGAGATAGGCTGTAAAGCTAACTAGGTCTTTGAGAGATTTCAGGCCATGTTAAAAATAGCTGGATAATTGTCAGTTATGATGAATTTAAAAGTTTCAAATTCTACAGTTCCCAAGATAACTGGACAGTTGTTCCAAGATTTTATTTCTTGGTGGCAACAGATAGTCTTCCAGAATTTACAGTTTTATGAAGTTTTATTGTGGTTTTGCAGAGTTTTGTAGACTTTCTCTAGTTTTGAAGAATTCTCACCAAATATTCACTCATCAGACTTATAAGTCTGTTATGCCAAGAGATAAGTCCCTTTCTGGATAAAAATTCTTCGTTCATTTGGTAAATTTGAATTATGGGCACAATTTTTCATTCTCAGAAATGTTAATTTAAAGTCTTTGATCTGAAGTTAACTGAGTCTTTTGGTATTTTAAGGGATGAGTATTCACTATCGTCATAGTTTTTGACTTTAGGCCTGATGGAGAACAAGTCTTTGAAGGTTGTGTTTGATTGGGTCTGCACTCAGTTGAGCACCAAGCAAGTTTTTGTGAGTTGAGTTTGAGCTTGAGCCTACAACTGAACCATTTAACCAAACTTGTGTTGAGGAGTTTGCATTTGAGCCTATAAACATAGTTTGAGTTTGAGCCTATACTTAGATAAGCAAGTCTTTGGCAGTTAAGTTTGAATCTATACACTTAGTTAAGCAAGTCTGTATAGGTTGAATTGAAACTAAGTTAAGTAACTGTCTCTGGCAGTTTTACATGATCCAGGAACAGATACTTCCTATGGTTGGCAACTGTTAATTGTCTTTGTCAGTTGTGTAAGAGTACAATTTATATTTGTCCGTCTCATATTTACATAAGTCTTACAGGTGTAGTAACAGGTGCCTAATTATATGGCTGTAAAGATTAATCAGGTATCTGTCGGTTGTGTTCGAGTGACAATACCTGCAGACTGAGTATACCCTCCATTTAGACAAGTCTCTTTCAGTTGTATTGGATTTAAATCTGCTTAAAGATTAACCAGATCTTTGTAGGTGTTTTTGAGTTACTAGTATATGCAGTATGTCTAACATTTAGATGGCTGCTGCATGTTTACTAACAGTTGCCAGAGATTAACTCAGTCTTTTTTCGGTTGTTTTTGAGTGATAGTATATGCAGTATGTCTAACATTTAGATAGCTGCTGCATGTTTACTAATGGTTGGCAGAGATTAACCCAGTCTTTTTTCGGTTGTTTTTGAGTGATAGTATAACATTTAGATGGCTGCTGCATGTATACTTACGGTTGGCAGAGATTAACTAAGTCTTTGTCGGTTGTGTTAGGGTTGAGGCCTCGTATATATAGGTTGGTCTGACTAAGTTGTTCCCCAGAGTTACTGGACTGGCTACTGGTTGTGTTAGGGCTGGCCGCAGGCATGCTGCGTGGTGTATAGGTCTGCAAAAATCACAAAGAATCTGATTAGTTAAACTGCTAGATAGAGTATTACAATAAAAAACATTCACATAAATTCTGACAAAGTCGTAGAATCTGGGATATAAATGGCATAGTTATTTACATGGTGTATATTGGTGTATCATCCTAAGATGGTATTTTGAGGGGATTTTATCCATAACTTGTCTTTACATGGTTGGGTGAAGAAGGAATATGGCAGGTCTTTCAAAAAAATCTTTCAATAGATATGCACCTTTTAGAACTTTAAAATCCTGTCTTTAGTGTGAAGAAACATATGAGAAAAGAAAATATGATATCTGACTCTCTTGACTCAAAAGCAGCACAATATTGCTTTGCACCAGTAGCACATTTTTGCATTGCACTTTGCAACAGAGACAATGCAACAGACAACAGCACAGAAATAGACAAATAAAGCAAAATGCTTGTTACAAATTAACACACTAAATATTGATTTCACCTCAAGAGATGTAACAGTTTGAATCTTATGGATTTAGTCATAAAAACGCCATTCAACATATTGGCTTGTTCTGCTAAAACATCACTTGCTAAATGACAACCAATACACAGGAGAATAGGGCCTCTTCATAATCAAATATCTGCTCTGGCCCTCTGAGTCATTGCTAGAAGATGATGATGATGGGGAAAACACTACCAGCATTTATAGTTTTTAAACTACTTGAATTCTTTTAATCCATTCTCAATCAGATTATTAAAGAGAGAAGGAGAAGGAAAGACATCACTGAGAGAGAGAAAGGGAGAGGGAGATAGAGAGAGAGGGGGAGAGAGAGAGGGCCAAGAGAGTGGTGTTAAACAGAAAGAAAGGGAAAACAGAGAAAGAGAGGGAGAGCAGAGAGAGAGGGGGGAGAGTGATTGTCTCAGAGAGTAGAGCACAGAAAGAGATAGAGAGCTAAGAGATAGAGAGAGAGAGAGATTGGCCCCAAGGTCAGATTGTAATCTGGAATATAAATCAGACTGACCATTATAAATGTACCAGCTGATGTCAACACAACCTATGCATTAAGTACAATCTGCCATTGTGGTGGACATGAGTCATTGTAAATAGGTTCTATATGAGATTAGTTGACTTTCTAAACACAGTAGCCTCCATTTAAGCCAGACACACTGTCACTACCAACATAATAACCCCACCCCCATCCCCTCCCCTTGAAAACACCACCCAAAAATTATTATGTAGTCAATTAAAACCTCAGAAAAATGTCAAATGGACATTTTTTCCCTTCATCTTGATGGCATCAGAGCATAAGATGGATACAATTATGTTTTGGCAGATTGATTTCATGAAATGACACAAGCTTGGCAGCCTTAAACATAAACAATTGCCCATCTGTTCCAGAGAATGTTTATCTCTCAAGACATGAATGCATTTAGCTTTTTTTCTAATTACTAGAAATAATCAATTAACAAAATTACCCCCATGTTATTACAAAAATTGCCCTTAATGAGTAAAACTGCACATACCTCTCAGTATCAAAGAAAAAACAGATGCAACAGTCTATAGAGAACTGATTCAGAATTTGGGTATAAAGCAGAGCTGCATAGCCAAATAAGCATAAAATAAACGATTTTCGGATGAGAACACTACCAGATATGGTAATTTTATTCAAAAAAGACACATAATATACGCTTTTAAGCAGAGCCCACTAGAATATCATGCAACGAAGAGATCATATGGTCCAACACACAATTACACAAGATCTGCATGGGCCTTAAAAGGCCGTGGTTAAAAACGAGCAAAAAATGTTTATAGACTCTCACATGATCAATGACAGAGCAAGTGTGTTTCTTCTATAAGTCCAGAATTATACACCGAACAGTATTTAATCGGGCCTCCGGGGGGGGGGGGAAAAACGTTTTAAAAACCGAGATTGGAATGTCACCACAATCTCTGGGGTAATATACTCTGTTATGCTTCACCTCGGCGTAAATATTTGATAATTCATTCACCGGTGCCGTGTTATGTGTGGTCACACTTGTTTGCAAGGTATTCACCTTACCGAAAAGAGCACCTGTTTTCTAATGCCATGGTTTTTCTGCTTAAAAATGACAAAATGTCATCAACCTTGCATGAAACTTACTGATTTTTCTTACAAAGTTCAAGATGATGCAAAATATTTCATGTTTGGACTTTGAATTTGGGATTTATGCAAAAAAGAATAGACAAATGCCAGCGAAGACGATGGCGATGCCATTGCTCGTTATCTATCAAGTGTAAAATATCTTCTCTGCTACGTAGCCACATATTTTAAGTTTTGTCTGTTCAAACAAAATTAACTCTATTCAAACACAAATGCCAGGTAAATTTTAAATTTCTTATCAATTGAAAGATATAAACATCTCATTTTTCAGGGCAGATATACAATATTCGCATTGTCCTACCCCCAAAACTGGCAGAGCTATAAATCTAGACAAGACACCATTTCACCTGTGCAGTTATGTCTTACGTCACAGGTACCTGCAATTAGGCCAAGCCTTAAAAATTTTAAGGGTTTTATCATTTGTAACTGGCAGTTTTTAAGTCATATCACAGATTTTAAGGTTTTTACATGTAACCTGGAATAGTTTCAATGAAAATCAATTTTAAACTTTACAAGGTCAATTTTACACTTTAAAACTTCATAAAAATACGATCAGAAATAATTACATGGTCTAGCTACCTTCAAATATCTTGAGAATCAATATATATTTTCAGATAATTAAAACTTGCATAATTTAGATTGCATTTAGAAAGGGGGAGATCAAATTACACATGAACCGGAGATAATTTGTTACGAGAGATTATATTTTGTTTACGTGAGATTCTATTTATGCATTTGCCTGTCTAACCTTCACAAAATTGTTATCGTACACTATAAATGACACTTCATTTTCAAAATATTTAGTATAAGTCTACAGTCAATCTATGTCAATAATATCCATGCAGGTTGTTTGTTTATTTCTTTTAATTATACAATGTACATGATATAATCTTACCAAGCTCCATGTTCACAATATAAACAAAATAGTTTACCTTTGTCACAAACCAATTAACAAACACAGCTTAATTTTAATAAACCATTAGTAAATGACTTCTGTCAAAATGAAACCATTACAGTATACTTTCTCCTACCTAGTGTGCATATCAGTTAATTTCTTCCAAAGTTAAAGATGAATTTTGATAATAACAGCTGGCATTATAGGATGAATTCTATTCGATTAATAATAGATGCAGCATTAATAAATCTGATATTTATGGAAAGCATGTTTAAATATGGTAGCTTAATGTAATTGACGTTGAATTTTTGATATGGAACAAGAAATTCAAGATATTATTATTCTATCAAGCAATATTATTATTCTATCAAGCAATACTAATTAAAAATTTATCTGGAATTTATCATTATATATATTCCCATCTCAGTTTAAAAAAAGATAGTATCCATTTCAGACAAAGTTAAAGAAAAAGTACAATGGTTTATTGTCATATATATTTTTCCCTTTTAAAACAGGTCAATGCTCTCAAAGATCATACACAAATTGTTTTGACCTAGAACCCAATCATTCATCCCAGAGATCAGAGAGAGAGTGGAAAACCAAACATTCCACAAAGCCAATCACAATTTCAGAAGAAAAAGAGATTAATTCAATCAAAATTTGCCAATTCCACCAATTAACCAAACCGTTTCCCTTCCACATCCCCAATGATGTCGGTAGAAATTCCTTGCACTGTCAATGATAATAGGGGAGAAGGGATTTTTTCCCCACTTTCCTGACAGTGAAATCAGTGCTGATTCCCTAAGACATCCTTCTCTATCAATCAAGGAAAAACAGTTGTCTGATCAAATTCTCCCCAAAACAAAGAAATTTATCAACAGGCAATCTGTCTTTCTGCCACTCCTGAATAACTATTGTGTAAAATCTAATCCTTCTTTTCTTGTCTCAAGAGACTAAAGAGGTCAAATACTTCTATCAATGGCCTGATTTAAAAGAAAGCTCTCTCTCTCCCTTTCAAACAGGTCAAAAACTTCTCTCAAAGTCCTAATTTAAATGAAAGTCCCCTGCTTTTCCTTCCCCCCTCTCTCTCTATCACTCTCTTCTCTCCCTCCTCTCTCTCTCCTTCCCTTCCCTCCACTCTCTTTCTCCACAGGTAAAAATCTTCTGTCAATGACCTAATTAATTTAAAAGAAAGTCCCTCCTCCCTCCCCCCAACTTAACATTCAAATACCTCCATTCCCCCCCCCCCTTTTTTTCTGTGTTTTACACGTACCTGTTATGTGGTCTGTGAAGAAGTTAAAATGATAATAGTAACAGACACCTGAACATTTCTTACAGGTAAAAAACTCATTTTCAGGTGACAATTTACATTAACAGGTTTGTTAAATAAGGTAGATGGATTTTTCACCTACACAAATTCGTGATCACTCAGGCAGGTAACTTTAACACATTCAAAATAAGACTATGTACTGGTATTCATGCAAGTTATTATGTACAACATATACCCAAGTTTCTGGAGCTCACATTTGAGTTCAAACCAATATCTTAAATCTTTCTAAAATGATATTTTTTTAAATCTAAATTGTCCAGTTAAAATGAAAAGCAAATGACCCAGTTTTTTTTTTACATTTTTACATAATTTTTACAAATAAGAGAGAAGTAAAAATACAACTACCTGACTAAGCTAGTAGGCGAATATGAATCCAACAACAAATAAACTAAAAATAAATCCACCGAGGTAAAAGCTGTAGATTGTCTATCAATGTTAAACCTAACGAGACTGACTCTGACTTTACACTACATAAAGGTCATTTACTTCAGATTTAGTTTTTCCTGCCGGACACTGTGTGTAAAGGACCTTCACCGCTCAACGTCACACACTAATCTGTAGAGTCACTAGGCTTATAAAATCGGCAGATGATCCTCCGAACGCCCAGTTACTTTCCAGTGGAGGTTTTTAAATCTTTAGTGGACCACTCGAAGTCACTCGATTAAGAAAAACTGGGAAGGGAATGTCGAATTTAAAGTGCGTGTCTCAAATTGACAGCAAGCCCATTGTGTAGCATTAAAAAAAAGGCCTCGACTGAATTTACTTTTTTTTTTAAAAAAGATCGAACTTTAAATGCCTTTAAGCTTCAATGAATTTAATTTGTAATATAGATTTAAGACACATTCAATATTTGCCGAATGTTTATCAACTATTCATGAGAAGTAAACAGTATCTCTACAACGCAGAAGAATATATCACTTGTGTAAAGAAAGGGATTTGTGTGAAATCTTTTTTCGGGGTAAATGTGCTCATTGTTTAGTGTTTAAAGAGATTTTTTATTGAGGAAATTAACGAGCACTAAATATGCGAACCCACATGAATTCCGGAAGCCGACTGGTTTTTTTCTGTTTTAACATGCTTAATCAAGGAGGCAAGAAAAAAATAAACTAGCAATTACAAAGTAAATGAACGGAAGAATTCAATCTCTGTTCTAAACCGATACAAGTGTTAAACCAATCATTTCGAATTATGTAATGCGATTCAGCTCATAAAAGAAAAATTATACAGCAAGTAAAAAAGGCTTTTTCATTGAGCTTTGGTTTCTTTCTTTAAAGAGAGACTCTCTAGTAAATAAAATAATTACACCCCAAAAAATGTAGAATCTCGATATATAATCACTGCTTACACTCGATTACGACTATCCTTGTCATAAACATATCTCCTAAAATATTTAAAAGTCTGAAAATACAGTTCATTGTCAACTTGGCAAGCCATGATCTAATCCCAAATAACATCGTAACAGCGCAAAAGATAAACAACAGAAAATTGTGTACAAAGGCTCCTGTTTCGAATCCGTATTTTTGTTTTATTGCGTCAAATTTTGTTAATGGATTAAAATTAGACACACAAGACCCCTAAATGTGTAACCTGGCTGAAATCAATAACTCAATCAATGAACATTTTATTTGTCATTATGCATCGTGGGGGCCCCGCTTCATGCTTAGTACAGTTAACTCTAAAGACTGCTATTCTTAGTTGCTACACATTAACCTCACAGAAATAATTGTTTTTAAAGAAATTACCAGCCAAAAATTAACAGAACACGATATCTCATAATACACATATATAAACCTACTTGCAAGCAGCTGCCAAAATTATGTGAGAAGATTCAACACTTCTAAGAAATGTAAACATCCCCTTAATATTTTATCTCTGTGATCTTGTAATATATCGCACTGTATTAAATTAAACACACAAGAAAAAACCTAGCTGTGCTGTACCCCCATTTTATTAAGTGATCTAAGTATTTGTGAGTCCCTCCCATATAGAGGAGGAACTCTTGTAATGTTAGGGGGGTAAACCCAAAGTTTTAAAACAAAAATGTATCCATGATTTAAATCGATATCACAAATTATAAACCTGATCACATTTAAAGGGGTGTATTGATTTTTAAACTTTTTTTCTGAGTTATGTACTGCTTAAAAAATATTTGTCCCTCTTCAACAAACAAACATACAAAAAAAAACCCTATAGAACCTTTCCATGATGGATAGTACCTTTCAAAGTAAAAATTTCACATGAAAATTTCCCATCAATAAAATCTGGGTTATCATGGCCATTAATGTTCCAAATTTATGGCATCAGAATGCTGCACACATTATTATCATTCAACTAATTCAAAAGATAAACACTGGAGTACATAGCCTCAGTATGTCCCCCTATAAAATGTGTGTCCCATTATCTCGTTTTCCCCAATACCATGTTTCAGGGGGTCCTTTAAGGTGGAACACAGGCTTCAGTTAACAGACTTACACAGGGCCCTAAATGGGGAAAACTAAGGCCTGAGTGGAAAACACAGACTTGACCCTTAAAGGTAGCTCAGTGTGCAAAACAGACTTTATATACAGGATCCTAATAGGGAAACAGGGCTCAAGCGAGCAGTTGCAGGGGACCCTTATGGGGGGGGGGGGGGGCAATGCTAGTTCAAATTGCCAAACTTTGGAAGCTATTATTGAAAAGCCTTCAGTTGATACTTTAAAGATGGTATATATATATCTGTAACACATATGAATAAACAGTCTTTGTACATATTTAATACTGAGAAGGACTGTTATTGATAACAAAGCCTGGCCTGCATGTTCCGGGAACACATCTGTCCTCATCAAATACAGCCATTGTGTAAAATCTGTTGCATTTTGCCCGTGGGATCAAGTCAACCAGCATTTCTGCTGATGTGTCCTGTCCTACAAGCTAAAACATTGATTTTTGTCCCCCCAGTCGAGTTTCTCCCTATTCAGGGCTATTTGTCCACAATCTATACTGAGACAATTACTCAATATCTGTCTACTGTAATGCTATAAATACAGAAGATGGCCAATTCAACCAAAGTTCATAGAACAATCTACAGACTTAAAGGCTTTAAGAGCTAGTCCATAATCTTTCCTTTCTTTTTTATGGCAAATGAGATTTTTTTCGTCTTTTTGAGAAAATGAGTCCAGAATCCTCTATTGGTTTTCTCCATTTCATTATTAGTGCCATAAATAGGAAAATATATTCTCTTTATAATATTGTCAAAAATAGAATAAATCATGATCCCCACAATACTACTTTATGCTGAATAGCTGGCAAGGCCTCTCATGCGCAATTATAATCCACAATCCCTTTATAACATGCAACCTGATCCTCACATCAAGTGACTGCAAAATAAGCTGCACAAAATTAACAGAAGATTTACATCACAGTTTTAAATCTTTCTAATTAAAAACATTTAATTGCATCTTCAAATCACCGCAATTAAATTAAAATCTTCATGCATATTAGAAACATTGCATTATAAATGTTTGCATATTGAAGTCATGACCAAACCTGCATGACATATTCTTCACAATTTGTTAAAAGTCAGAACATTTTAGCGTCCATAAAAAAAGAACTTCTTCGAAATTTGAGGGGCCCTAAGTTAACTTTATGGCAGGTTTACTTTAATTTTCATCTGAGTGTCAGAAATCGTAAAACTTCGCAACAAATCACACGAATCTGTTGAAAAAAGTTTGAATGCCTATGACTTCACCAAGTACATCGAACACTTGCTGTTGGAAATGATTAGAAAACAAACAGATAGATATACACTTTGTTTATTTATAGACGGGAAGGTGAGAAGACAGTTTTAACGGTTCAAAGCTGGCGAGGATCCAGGGTAATTAGATGTTTCGCCTTCTTCTCCAATCCGTGCTTTCAAAACAACAAAGGTGTAGCATTACAAATGAAAACTTAACAATCACTTTGAAAATGTATGAATAATGCAAGCACCTGGGGCCTCAGGAACAATTAAATGGTTTAAGGGAGAGAAAATAAAGATGTGTATCAATTTCCAAAGAAAACTGACATGATGATATATGAGCGATGCCCCCTCATAAGTTTTGACCAATAGAGTACACTATATTATAATATTAGCTACTCATGTTTATTGATATAGTTTTTTTCAATGAGTAAGATTGGGAGTTGCAGGTGAAAATTTTTCTTGCAGTTTGTCACAAGCACACAATCATGAAAAACATGATAAATTTTACATAATCTATCAGCTGTCGACTTTTGATGAATTTGAATAAATCTTGAGTCCCTGGGTTAGATTTATTTAAATGTAATCTATTAGTGGACAATGTTTTTAACGAGTTCAAGTAAATCATGAGCCCTGGAATGGAGTCAGTGTCTTATCTTCTCTACACAGGAAATGTGCGGAGTTAAACTGCACGCCTGCAGTATTTCAGCTAATTCATAAAAAATACACCGCGCGGGCATCTGTTTCTACTAAAATCAAGGAGGTCAATTTTTCCTGATTTAAAGCAGTGGAAATGGCTTTTGGCTTGGCTTGGCTATGGCCTGGGGCGAATCGTGAGTATTGGGGGAAACAGCTTTTTCAGAAGTGAGCACCATTCAGAACCAACATAAAAAAACCTCCCAAACACCACCGTGGGATGCTTCATCCTGGTTCCCTGAAGGAGGGGGGAGATAGATAAGTAAATGACATTTTATCAGGAGAGTTACAGATGCAAAAGATAACAGTTCTGATTAATACGGACGAGGTGTACCTGAAATAAACATGACATAAAAAACAGGGTCTGTAAATAACTACATCCTCTATAGCACATGATAAGCCGTATTCTGTGATCTTAAGATAAGATCTAAGCTCCTCTCTAACCACTCATCGTTTTTATTTGAAATATCCTCCACGATAAGGTCTCTGAATGAGAAATACTGAACTTCCCCCCTCCAAATAAAACATCATGTAATTTGTTTCTTCTAAGTTTGAAAAAAAAAAATGGGGGGTTAAGACATTTGCCTGAAATCTAAGATGGGGGTTGTTAACCTCTCACATCCTGTTTCAGATCCGAAGATGGATTCAAGGTCATTGGGTCAGTTTACTTTCTGAATGTAGAAAACAAAATAAAATCTTTAAATAAATCTTTAACCAAATATCATCCTTTCAAATAGTGAATTTTGCTTCCTTCCCCCTCCCCCACATGATAATTTCTCAAAATGCTTACAAATAACCTTGAAGTTCATGCATATTTGTGGATTAAGTCAGACTGAACAATCCTTCAGATTTTTCCCTCAATTCACCTATCCCATCCCTAAATGGCAATAAATCTCAGATTTATAAAACTGCCCCCATTTTAAATGAATTTGAATTTTTCAAAAATAATTCTTTTTCTGCATTTTTTACTTACTTCTGAATCAGAAGATGATTTTTCCTCAACCATTTCGGACTCCAGTTTGACAAAATTTCACTGTTCCCTTAGCGAGAACAAATGTTACATTCACAAAATTTCAGACCTGTGTGTCTTTCAAATGATCAAAAACACATGTATATCCTCTAAAAGTATGTCTGCATGAACAGAATTTAAATGGCGGTAAAAGATGACAAAAATCAAACAGTCACAACACTTGAATGTTATTTTTCCACGTTAGGACCTTAGAGCAAGTCAAACAGCCATGTATCTTGTTTCCAGCTCAAACTGGCGAAAGACTCAGGAGGATTGCCCAACGTGTGGAAAAGAAAGCTACAGGACAAATACAACTTAACGGAAAGTCTCTCAAGAACAAGAAGCATTCAGTTAGGGCATGGAGTGGCTTCCTGGGATGGTTTCCTACTAAATGTCACCAACAGCATCCGTTAAAACTTCCGGCAAAAACGTGTGACGTAGCCACACAGGGTTCAGAAACAATCTCAACATGGAATTGAATAACCTCAACACTTGACTTGATACAATTGACCATATAAGACATCCAGATGTGATCTTCCAAAAGGATCCTGGTTTAAGGATGTACAGTGAGTGACCACTTGGAATTATGGGAGAGGAAGTGACAATTACGGTTGCTAAGGTCCTGGTAACTAAGAAGAGAGTGTTCTTAAGTTGCTGGGCAGGATTTTGGTGGGATTCTGTGAAGGAAGTGAATTATTAGAGTTTAAGGATGTCATTGGATCTACATCCTGTCCCTGTACAAACTAGAAAAGGATGTGGGTACTTGATTCAATATCCTGCCCAAGATTTGACAGTCAATCACTCCATATAGTTATTTCCCTTTAATGTTTTAACAACTTCTGGAAGTTAATGGATATGTTTTTATTTTGTAGACTTTTGTCACATGATGTACGTATGAAAACATCCTTATATAGACAATGAAAATGAATAATTATTGTGTAACCTGTGATACATTTACTGGTTTCAATCAAGATCCACTAAAAAAAAAAAACTTTCCTACTGTACTTTATATTTTAATGAAACTCTTGACTGTTTGAAAAGAAAACTACATGCCTAAAGGAAAATTATTACTTAAAGAACCTGAAATTTTTTGTAATTTTAAAAAGGTGGGAAAAAAACAAGATTTCTTTAGATATGCACAGATTTCAATCTATCAAGAGCGGAACGATATTTCATGTTAGTTTTGTTACATACGTTAAAAAAAATCCATCTCGCCGCATCTAGAGAAACAAAGTGTTTTATCATCCAGGGTGATCAAAAGTATAAACAATACAATGAATTATGCAAGAGCTGGGCATTGTGAAAACATTCACGACTACATCAGATGAAACAAAAAAAGCTATTAGCAGCATTAACTCTCTATGTGTATAATAAATACCTCGGGAAATGACTCTACGTCTGAACAAGACATATTACGATTATAGGAACATTCTTGAACCAGTTTACATTAGATTCAAGCTCCGTGGGTTCTCTGTTCTCAATCAATTTCTGCCCATCAGTTGCACACAGATTCAATTCAAATACATTGAGAACCCAGGGCAAAAGCTCTTAATTATTTGAAAGGCACTTGAACGAGACAATGCTCTAGCTTTATATACAAAGGAGAATTCACACTATTAGTCCTATCTATATACACCAGGCAGATGTTTCACTGCAATACATCATACTGAAATGGAAGGTTTTGGGTTTTTTGGTTGTTTGAGGTAAACGTTCAAAAGTAGAAACCCTTCTGAGTAAAAAATAATTTTGAGAATCTCAAGTAAGTTTATCATTTTGACATGGTAAAGCTACAAGTCTTTTAAGAGGGTTTACATTTTTAAGGATTATATAAACTGGGAGCAAATGGTGATTGATTTATCATAGTTCATGGACAAATCTGTATTATCACTAGAAGTAAATGTGCCTTCATGCTATCTACCAACATTTTTTTGCCAGAACTCTTGTGGTCCTACAAAAACTGGACATTCTATGAGTGCATGGTCCTTCATAAAGATGGTCATTCGGTGCTTTTTTGGAGGGTACCAGCAAACCTCGATTCTCACTAGATTAAATACGAGCTGTGAAAGTGTTCGGAATCACACACCGTTTGCTGGTGGCTAAGGAAACATGAAGTTGACATGAAGCCCGTTATTGTATTTCTGTATCTGCCAGTTTGACTCAGCATCACTTGAGAGTGAGACATTCTCTACATCGCGCGAGAATGCACTTTTTTTTTTCCCGCTCACTTTACTCTTCAAAGTATATAAACACATACATTTCCAAGTGGCCATTGTTTTTAAACATTCCTCTACACTAAACTTGTAATCGCCCCAGGTCATAGTTTAAGTACTATAGCTAACTATAGCTAACTTCTATGCTTCATCCTTAGAAATTTTCCTGTTTACTTCACAAATTTTTTTCAAATCAAATTTTTATTATAACCAAAGTATAAATGCATGGTAAAACTCTTTAACAATGTAGACATTTTCTTTTAGTCACAAATAAATAAAATAATAAAGCAGGATTTAGTTTACTAAGCACAAACAATTGAAATCACTTTACTGCGCAAAAGTGCGTTTCTCTTAGAATTTGTCATCGTAATTAAGCAGTAGTTCCTATTTCCAACTGCAGTCCACATAATTGAGTAAAAAGGGCTTGGTTGTTTATGAGTTTACCAAAACAAAATTCAGTCTGTCACGCATATAAGCAGAAAAAAAAAATTATTAAGAAATTTGTCATTGAAAGAAAAAGAAAAGATTCCCATAGAAATAAAAAAACCTACACCCACTTGTGGTTAGTATACAAAACCCTTGTAAAATCAGAAATACTCAGTTATTTCAAAAAATTTACTATCCAAAAACAAATCTTTTTTTCTGGGAATCTTGTGAATAACATGAAAATTCTTGTTGACAGGTAAGAAGATCCCTAATCGAACTTTTATGTTGGTGTGTGTTCGCTCGGTCACTTGTCACCTATAAGTGGACATAACCATGTAAACAGGGACATTCTTTCTCTGTTTAGCCCACCTACAACTGGACAATATTTGTGGGGCCCATCCAAAGGGAGAGAGATTGCGTACCTCCCTCAATTCTTGTAAGGAAAACTTCTCATGTATGAAAGTCAAGAATCTAAGTTAATTGAGAGGGTCTCCACCCTATTGCATTCAGCAAGATTACCAAGATAAAAAACACTTAGTGATTCTAATGTTTATATAATTTTCTTCCATGGTTGACGAACAGCCATAAAAGGGGGGGCCTGTTTGTGTGTCTATATGTATGTTAGGTCGACCAAGAGAGGACTTTATAGAAATCGAAAAAATTGACAGCAATTACAGAGCATAATAGACCCACATACTCAAGAGAATAGGAGAAAACAGTCATAACTATAGCCGAAAGGGAGGCCTCAATGAACGATTATTTTGCTGTATTGAATTCTGAATGGAGAGAGAAGCGATGGGTTAGATAGGGGCCCCGGTTGTTGATCGAGCGATAGAGTGTGGTTTAACATGCTTCATACCTCTGTAATCTGGAGATAACTGATAATAATCACTTGTTAAACAGGTATATTTAAATTTCTACTATAAACGCACTATGACCCCTCCCTTAAATGTCTGTATATAGCGAGTCTATAAGGGGTCAATATCACAAAATTTACATTCCATGGAAACTAAGAGAAACTCAGTGTATCTTTGAAGATCGATCTGTGCATTTTGATAAGAATTTGAAAGTTTTTTCCCATTGCTACTGAGGGAAATTTTCATTTAAAAAATTATCATCAAACTCTTCATGCAATTATAATATTTAGTTCTATACCCTTATTACAAAACAACTGCAGATAAAAATCCAAAACCTGGCCAGTGTTTTCTTGCTTGTGTGTATATAGTTTCGAGGGAAAATGTCATCTCCAAATATTCAGAAAAGAATCACACCTTGATCCTAATGAAATTCAAAAGCATTAAAAATTTCTGGTCACAAGTCAATGACTGAAATTTACATGAGAAAAAAAAATCCCCTGTGGACATTGACCTACATTCACAAACAGATTTTAAACCCAACACAGGATAATCCCATAATCCAATGACTGGCCATTCAAAACTAAAAAAAAAAATACAGCTTATCATCAAAACAAAAGAAAAGTTTACAAACTTACCATAATATGTCAAGGCTAAAAATAGAGAGAGTATATATAAAATCCCCCAGTGGAATAAAAAGTGCGGCTATTCCCTGCGACTGTTGATTCACTAATACAAGCTCTCACCATGTGTTCAGCTATCAGAGAGGGCCCCTCGACTCAATGAGTAACTCCCGATCATGTGACTTCACATATTTTCACTGTATCCTGTTTTCTAGGTCAATGGGAGCAGTCATTGCAGAGTTGTGGGGTGGAGATAGAGATAAAAAAAAAATAAGCCCTCCCCCTAATCTTAGATTTATTAGATAAAGAAGGGTGAAAAAACTTTAATAATGATTAAAAAATGGAGTTTTTACAGTTTATTATATACTGTTAAAACTAGGAATTTTTGTTGTTTTTTTAAAGTTTTGTTGTTAAGGGGTTACTTGGCCATATTCCCTGATAATTGGCTATTTGATCATACTGATAACTGTGGAGGGGTTATTTGTGGTCAGTGATTGAGAAATGGGGCACCCCGCAGGGAAACGACAAAAGGATGAAATTCTTAAGTGTAAATTTAAACAGCAGGGATTCTCCTATAGTCAAAGCTGAACCTTCTCTAAACTAACATTAGATTGTGTTTAGAGACCTATAAAGATCTAAGTGTCAATATTTGACAGAGCCCATTAAATAAACCCAACACATTTTCAAGGTGTTTGACTGTGTAATATTTATCATTAATTAGGTAAAAGCAAGTCAGATCATTAATATGTACATAGTAACACATTTTACTGAATAATATATGCGGGCATGTGGGAATAACTAATTTGCAAAAAATGTAATTGATGAACATATATCAATTTTTTCTAACTCATGCACACAAAGATCCTTAATTGCAGCTGCAATCAGGATTTTTTAAGATTAAGATTAAATTATGAAGAGAAAAAAACAACACATTTTTACTAGAGAGAAATATAGCTTTCTATAAATAAAATTTCAATGAAATTTTAATGAAACATATTTGTCTCTCAATTTTTAGATATGGTAAATTTGGTGACAATATTCCTGATTTCACTGCACAGTGCAGCAATTTTCTTGCATTATCTACCTGCAACAACATTCCAAGATGTAAACCATGGACTAACTGAATTATCGCACACAGACAGTGTTTATTTAAGTATCCTAACACATTGTAAAGACTTCAATAAGGGGTATTGCTGCACTGATTCAATGTTTGTCAAACTTCTTATGCATATCACCTGCATACCTTGAAGACATTTTAAAAATCTCAGTCTACTTTTGGGACAGTCTGTCACACCTGAAGTTATTTTCCATAGTTTAGAAGTGATCATCAAATCTTTCTCCTCTCTCTCTCTCTCTCTCTTTCTCTCTCTCTCAATTCTTAAAGATTTAATTTTGCTTCGGTAATCAATTTTGCTTCCTTCCCCCCTTTCAACAGTACTTCTTCATGATAAAGGTTGAAAAATCAAACTACCCTGTATATAATGTTTGTATATGCTCTA